TAACCCCTTCAATTTACTTAAACCCCCGCTTGGGGCTAACCCCTTCAATTTACTTAAACCCCCGCTTGGGGCTAACCCCTTCAATTTACTTAAACCCCCGCTTGGGGCTAACCCCTTCAATTTACTTAAACCCCCGAAGTCTTTGGTTCACTTAAACCCCCCGCGGGTGGCCTTTTGTTTGGACTCGGCTCCTGGTGCTCGAGCCGGAGCTCCCAAAACTGTAACGGCCTGTATTGGATGCAGAACCCTTAAAGCTTTCAGAAATCCTGCTTAATCCTGTCCTGAATCCTAATTTCCAACCTTTGTACTGTTTCTGCTTAATTTTGTCTCGCTGTCTGCTTGCGATGGCAACTCGGCTTGTCCTTCATGTTCTGGGCTGCCATGGAGCAGACCTCGAGTAAAACCACGTAAGAAACTAGAACCTGGCAAGCAAGTGACTGGAAGCTGTGGTGTCAAGTCGAGCCGAGCAATCTTGGTGCATAGTTGCGATCCCTAATCCCAAACCACAACCAGTATCCTTCTGACCGAAAGGGTAATGAGTCCCTGAAATGCAAAGCTGAAGCATGACTTCTTTTGCGCTCGATGCAGGTTCCGTCGGCTTTGAGCACTTTTTCTCATATGCTGCATTTGCTTCAGCTCTTCTTGGCCTCATTGGGCCTCAGGAACCTCTGCAGTCTGTGAAGATAGCCAAACGCCGCCTTGCAGGTCGGAGCTCTGAGTCATTGTCTCGGATATGCCGGCCGAAGTGCTTTTGGGAGTGTATCCGTATGCAAATGCTACCTTGGAAGATCTTCTTCTAAACTGATGCATGAAAAGAGGAAGACGCTCTCAAAGTCTGAGACTTGGACGAGTGAGGTGGACCTGTTCACCTCCTGCAGGGAACGTTTCAAGGCGCTTTAGGGTTTGGAGTACCGTTCCTGTCAGTCCTTCTTCGAGAACGGGAAGGCGTCGATCTTGATCGAGAAGAGCGTGATCGAGAAGAACGCCGTCGCCTGATGCATAAAAGCCGCCGGGCCCATAAACTGCAAGCTTTCGACCTCCGGCATAAATTGAAACTTTCTTGTCACTTTTGTGCGCGCCTTCTGGAGCGGGAGGGCTGGCGATGCCTGCGTATGATTGCAGCAGCTTCCGCCCAATTCATTTCCGCTGCGCCCTTCTTGCTGGGGCGTGCTTCTGCGAAAGAAACCACACAGCGGACTACCATAGACTTCCAACTTCCAACACCAAAACACTTTCCTAAGCTTAAGCAGGGCATCGGCACCTAGCTTCGGTGCTCTTTCCTTCTACCAGCCAGACACGTGCATGGGAAAGCTTGAATCTCTGGCGGCAGATGCGCACCGTCGACGGCTTGCTCCAGCAGCTGGGTCCAAAGCACCTTCAGCCCAATGAAGCTGGGACGAACCAGTGGGGAAAACGGACTTGCCAATGGAACGTTCGATGCTACCAAAATGTCGATATCTTGCACCTGCACTTGCCGGCGGGCTCTGAGCAATGTAGCCTGCAGTGGTCGGATGCCTGGCATGGAAAAGACGTGATGCATCTGTCGCTGTCACATCTGCTTGACGGTCGGCCTGTTGTCGGGATGCGCAAATGCCGGGTCCTGCAAGGAGGTGCCGGATGCTGGGACGCAAGCAGAACTCCAAACCGCTGGAAACTGCTCTACCCGTACGAATCAGCACGTGGCCAAATGTCGACAGAGTAATTGCAAGTTCGGATTCAACAGGAAATTAGCTGGCCATGTGTCTGGACAGCAATCGCTTCCCGGTGAGCGATTTGTGTGCCGGGAGATCTGCCTTGAAGCTTGCCGTGCCGGCATCATGGAGCATCAGGGTCCGATGACTAGCCCATACCGATGTCAGGCCTGCGCTGGACCTGAGGCATGCTGCTGTGGTGGATGACCTGCTGAAGGGCCAACTCATTTGCAACCATCCTGCACTGCAAGACTTCAACACAGCTGGGCGCACTGTATGGGCTGGACCTGAGTCAAAAATCAGGTTGCAGCAAAGAGTCCAAGCAGAATGCATTGTGAGATGTTGTGAGTCTCGCAAAAACTGCTGACAAGCAAATTTTCGCTCTTTATCCTAGACTTCATCCGAATGCTGCATTCATGAGTGGAATGACTCCAAGCATGGAAGCAGCGACTGCGCAACTCGAACCTTTGCAGCATCGACCTCTCAGTTTCTGACGCAGCAGGGGGCTGGTGCTCGTGCGGAGGGTAGGTAGGATATGCGGGCTGAGTTGGGTAGCCGGGGTAAGTGGACTGACTTGGGTAGCTCGGGTAGGTAGAGGTAGCGTACACTGCAGGGGCTTGGTGCGTGTAGGATGGTGAGGGGCCAGGTGGGTAGGCATGTGGTTGTGCTGGGTAGTGCGGCGTGTACTGTGGTTGATGCGGTGGAGTTGCGGCTGCTGGAGGATGGATGCTGTGAGGGGAATAGCCCTGAGGGCCTGGATAGCTTGGGTAGGCCTGTGCTTGTGGTGGCTGAAAACCTGGTGGCGGCTGCGCGGGAGCATGTTGTAGGGGTGGCGGGTATGCCGGGTGCGGTACTGCTGGAGGTGGTCGCTGCTGCACCGGCAGATGGATCGGTGGTGGGTATTGCTGTGGTGGATACTGAGGCTGTGTGTGGGGATGTGGTGGCGGGTGTGTGGGTGGATGAGTGTGAGCAGTTGGGTACTGGGGGTGCGCGTACTGTGGCTGTGCCGGTTGTGCGTGCACTGGCGGGGGATATCCGGGAGGTGGATGTGCATGTGGCGGGTGTGGCGGTGGTGGCCAGCCAGGATGGGGATGTAGGATCGGTGGACCTCTCGCAGGCATTGAGGCCGCAAGAACATTCATACCCGAGAAGTGGCGACCTTTCATGAAAACGTGCACCAAGCCCCGCTGGTCAAGAAGCCTGGCAAAGGAGCCGGAGGATCTGTGGCTGCCTCTCGCTCCGACGACCTTTGCCACAGCAAACAACAAGTCGACAGCCCGTGACGTGTTGCGACAGCCACTGCTGAAGGTGTCAGTCCCTGTGACAAGCTTTCAAGCAGCTTGTTGGTTCCAGGGCTTCATGCGGGGACCGTCTCCGTGTCGGGGCATCGCCGCGTCGGTGGATCAGGTCATGAATCCTAGGCAGATCGCGGGGCATGCACGTCTCCTGGGATCGAATGCTCCTTGCGCTGCTAGAAAGATCTAGAAGGCGATCGTCGAACGCAGTCAGAAGATGGGCTCAAGTAACCGCGGGTTTGGGGAACCCGACAAAACTCGCCGCAGGTTATGCACTAGGTCGTTTAAACTTGAAACAACGTCTGACGGGCGGCTGATCTGAGATGCTGCAGAGAAAATGGGAGACGTTTTCCGGCATGCTCGGAACTGAGCTGCCTTTTGAGTTGCTGGGGCGGCCCAACTTGAAGGTGGGTTGCATTAGGCAGCTCCCACTCATGACAATGCATATTCAGCCAAAGATACAGTTTAATCGAAGAATAGAACAAGCCTCTGAAGGATAGAAGAGATCCGGTCGCAGTCAAATCACGACATTGAAGCCGAGTGCACCGTTCGAGTTGATGAAGAAGCTTATCGACAAGACAAGGACTGAGAATCAGTTGCTGAACAAGCCAGCTCTGAGATAATGACCGCTGCACAGCATCTTTGACTGCAGAATCAGAGCCTGAGATCGTGACCTGAGGCTTCAAGTGCTCTCTTAAGACACGAGAAGCTCAACCCACCTCTCGTGGCTCCTTCCCATCTGACCGCTCCACTTCGATCGATGCGCCTGTCTCCTGGTTTTAGGACGTGTCGTGAGGCAGGGGGCACAGAGATGTTGCTGAGGTCACGTGACAAGTCTTCTGTCAAGCCTACTCAGCTCTGATACACTGCGCCGGGCCTTGCGAAGCTGAATGATCGTGGCTCCTCAAACGTTGGATGCAAAGGTTGGTACAGGTAGCCGACGCAGCAGTCGTGCAGCTCTCTCATCTGCACCGACCCAAATGCCTACCAATGCACCCACCTGCTTTGCCAATAAGTGCTCCGACGCGCCGAACTGGACAGCTCACCTTGCAAATACATGCCTGCAAACGCAAATTAAATGCTACTTACGACACGTCTAAAAGCTGAGGCCATAGACCGTAGTGGTGATGTCATCATCCCGCATCCCATATGGGACTTGCACGCCTCTGCCCCTGTGTACTCGTCTGTCTTCGTGTTTTTTGGGGAGTGGCTTGCAGGACACCGATGCACCAAGGTAGTCTTTGACTCCAGGTGAGAGAGTGTTCAGCAACTCTGACAAACAAACCACCACAGCGTCTTCTCAACATGTGTAGTCGTCGGCGGTTATCACGTTCTTGTTGGCGACTTGCATACTCTCACTCTGCTGACTTGAGGCGAGCGTGGCACAAAGGAAAGCATCAGCACTGTCTTGGACTACATGCTTGTCGAGGAGCACCGGGCATGTGGAGTCAATCAAGCAACTTCCCTCAGCAGTCGGCAACCTCAATGCTGTGCTTCGTCTACATACAGCGTGTTTTACGCTGGTGTCGAAAGAAACACAGCGGGCTCGAACAGCTACGAAAGACGAAGATAGACTGGTTGACGGCTAATTGTTTTAGCAGGTGCACGCGGAAGATCTTTGTTCCGGCTTCCTGCAGCTTAGTCCGCCAAGACTCATGCAGCTGATCGCAGCAAAGGCCTCTGGCAAGTCCGGAAAAAGCAGCCGAGGTGTCTTCTCGGATCTCATTCGGCCTCGTCTGCACTTCCGGCAGTTCTGATGGAGCCATTGCCTGAAAGCGCATGATGTGTTGCGCGTTGGTGTTTCCCGGTGTACTCCGTCCTGCAAAAATGCCCTGGTAACCGGAAAACCTTCCCACACATAGCAAGGGCATGCTCAAAGATGTATTTTTATTGGTCGGATCGCAAACCAGGTTGAAACCTGGTGAAAGAAGACCAAGAGCGTGCTTGCCTGAAGCAAGGCTAAACAAGTCCTTCAAGGCGGAACGGTTTGCGTTAGTGCCTTTGCGTCAGCGAGACTACCGGCCTGCAAGCAACATTATCCTTCTTCCTTAGTCTTCTTGGTTTATCGATTACAAAATTCCCCTGGCTGCTGATGCTGCTGTCTTTTCTTAGCAGCTCGTCCCCGTCGTTTGCGTTGTACCCGTCTTCGTTGGACAGGTGTCGGCTTTGGGCGACTGCCAGTAGATACGAGCAGCGCACGGAATGTCTGATTTGTAGCATATCCAGATCGATGCAGCACAGTCGGTACCGCAAATGTCAAACGAAGTGTTGCAGCTGAAAAGGTTGGGGTGCCTTTGCAGCCGTGACGTAGTCGAAGCGATTTCCCCTGCGTGTCAGTTTTCAGAACTCAAACCGCGGTAGTTATGCAAGCTTGCAGCGGCTTCGGAACGAAATGACTCTACGGACCGCTGTCAGTGCACGACATGGGCATGCAACCAGCTGAAAACCATCCTGAAAGCAACGTTCCAGAAGGCCAGAATCTCAGTAACGATTCCATAGGGAAGCACCTGGCACCAGGATTGCTCAGATTTCTGTGGGCGCACGTGTACATCATCATGAACAACAGGTTGCTATTTCAGCATGAGCAAGTTGCAGAGTAGCAGCAGCCGGAATGGTATTCGAAGTAGAAGCTGCCGTCGCAGCAGCAGTAGCAGTAGCAGTGGCAGTGGCAGTGAGAGTGGCAGTGGCAGTGGTGGTAGTAGTAGCAGGTGGTAGTGCTAGGAGTAGGAGTAGCAGTAGCAAGTAGTCGCAGTAGTAGAGGTGGTAGAGGTAGTAGTAGTAGTGGTAGTAGTAGTAGTAGTAGTAGCAGCAGTAGTAGTAGTAGTAGTAGTAGGGAGTGAAAAAGACAGCAATACAGGAACGTTAACGCTGGCAACCGTACGAAAGAATTGTTCGACAGCCAAGTGCTGCGCCAGAAGCCCAGTGCAAACCAAGCCTCAAACGGGACTTGAATGTGTTGTCTCAGCTCTCAAAGACTCCTTCCGCAACGAGGCGAGCACAGTCCCACAGCACCAGGCCTGTCAAGACGGCACGTCGTTGCAAGAGGGATGGCCATCTTGACACCCTTCAATCCAGCCCCAGCTCCCACGATGCTGTACTCTATCGCACCCGGTGCCGTCGGCCAGGGCCTGTGAGTGTCGTCAGTGATGAACCGCATGTCGTGGGCAGGCCGCCGGCCTGCACAGAAGATGGCAAACCCACCAGTCGCTAGTAGGGCCTGTACCTTGCTGGTCGGATAGGATAGCGATCTTTAGATAAAACAAACATAAATGACGCACGGCGTGCAAATCACATTGAACCGCTTATCAAAGTATAGATGGTGGCATGCAGCCGGCCTCCGATGTCCAAAGCGAGCCTTAGCTGCTCGCGGATGCTCATTTAGGTATTTGCGCTGCAGTCGATCACCGACGGTCACCGACCCTCAGGACTTGAGGTTTTCATTGCCGTGAGCGATCCGGCGACGATGCTTATGCATGGTGCCTACCGCTCCGCCCGAAAGCATCGTCAGAAGTTGCAGAATAATTGGCCCTTGATTGCCAATTTCACATGCACAAGTCGTAGCATCGTATGACGCTGCAGACGGCTCTATGCAAGCATGAGAATACCTGGTGAATAGGAGCAATACCCTTTGCCAGCTCCAGAGCGCTCGTGCGTGTGCAATGAGCAGCACAGCATCCTGCAGAAGAATGGAGTCCGATGGGAAGCCTGGCTGCACATTCAATAGAATGGACAGTGCCGGCTGCCACTTGCTTGCCGTGCTGCACGCACCTGCGATTGTGCTGATTGCAGTCATGTCCAGCTTCGGTTGCGGAGCAGCCAGGTGCAGGGCCAACGTCCAAAGCTGGCCCCGCTGACATGCATTCAGTGCAGCTGAACATGCCAGCAAGTTCGAACGCAAGCTGTTCATGCTGTTTGCCATCAGTGCAAGCACGGCCTTCTGCCACTGCAATCCTTTGGCATAGCCGGCAACGGCAGCACTGCAAACTACCATATTCGCCTGGAGGCTTTGCATGTGGAACTTCGTCAGCAGCATCTGCGCATGCCGCCATTGCTCTGCTTTCTCACACGCGCTGATAGAAGCACCGGATGAGATGACGTTTATCGGCACATCTGCAGCTATGAACCCAACAAGGAGATCTAATGTGGACCGCCACAGGGCCCTGTTTTCGCAGGTATCTATGGTGATGCTTGGTGTCACCACGCTCAACCGCAGCCGCCTCTTGTACAAACACTTCAGCGCTTGGAATGCTGGTCGCCACTGCGCGCTCCTGCGCCATGCAGATAGGACGACATTGTAGGTTGGAGTTGTAGGTTCCACAAGCTGCCCTTGAACAGCTTCCACGAGAAAGGAAGCCTGCTGCCACTCCGTGTCTGCACATGCAGTGTGCACGGCATTGTAAGAGATAATATCGCCTCGAATCTGCAGGAAAGGAAGCTCTGCCAACAATGCGACGGCAAGCTTCCACTTGTGAGCTTTCTGACATGCGCTGGCTGCCGAATTGAGTGATATAGTATCTGTTTGAAGAGCGATGCTTCTGGTCTGTAACCTCAAGAGCAAGGCATGGATCCAGGCACTGCCTTTCTCACACGCGCTGGTGATGGTGTTGTGGGTGACTAGTGTGGCCTGCACATCCCGCCGGCAGATCGTAAATGCAAGTAACAAGGCTTGCCGCCAGCGTGATGTTCTCCCACAAGCACTACAAACCTTGTTGCAGGCAATTATCTCGGGACAATTCACCGACCGATTCGGAGCATGAAGTGCTGCCTGCCATTCACTCCCACGGATCGCTTGTGGCCTAATCATTCCAAAAGCTAGCTAATTTCAGAAGCTGTGAGTGCTTCGCAGGGTCGTCATGGGTGGTCTGAATACGGTCCATGGGGGACCGCATGGAACTGTCTCATCAGATCTCACACTTTTACCATAGCCGGCTGATTACAGCAAACCAAGTGTGCATCTCACTAACCAGGCAGAATCAAGAAGCCTACGTGAGCCTATTTGTAACTTAGGAGGCAAAGCAACGCTTAAACAGTGCTCCGCACAAAGAGGAAGCTACGACCGAGCACCGGGCTGCGATAGTGGCCTGGCTGGCAGCTGTAGATTCAGTAGATGTTGCTTGGCTCTTGTGGCACTTTGTTTCATTAGGTGAGCCTCTGGAATGTCTTCGTGAGGGGGGGGGTTGTTGAGAAGAGTGTAGAATGCAGGAACACGTCCTGACGGCTGTATTTCTTGGTTAGTCTTGCGGTGACCGGGGTTTGGCTTGGAGGTTTCGCGGCTCCGTAGAGCCCACTAAAGCCTCTTGCATCCTTCTAAATCCTTCTAAGACCCAATTAAAGCCCCAAACCCACTCAAGTTCTCCTAAACAGCTAGAGGTCCTCGTACTGTGTGCTGCTACTCTACTGCTACTACTACTACTACTACTACTCCTCCTGCTGCTGCTATTACTACTACTGCCACCAGTACACTACTATTGCTGCTACTACTACTACTACTACTACTACTGCTGCTACTGCTACTACTACGACTACGACTTCGACTACAACTACCACGGCGAGGACGACAGGTATTCCTAGCACGACTACTGCCACTTCTACTAATGCAGCCACCAATACTGTTGCTACTACGACGAAGACTACTGTTACAACTGTACTGCTTACTACCGTAGCATTCTTGTAAAGACTGCCACTGCAGAAATATGTTCTGTGTATCTCTCCCTACCGACAGTTTGACCTGCATGATCACGTACGTTTGCCATGTGCCGATTGGATGAGAAAGATACTTGAGTTTGACCGTGCTATGCCAAAGAAGTCCCGCTTGTCCGACATGGCACCTCGCTCCAAGGGCTGCAAGTAGACAGTCGACACCATAGCAACGCTGGCAGCAATGATCAGTGCCTCAGATACGTCCGGGACTCGACCATGATGTTGAAAGACATCATACCGACTGCGTCAGCGAAATGTTGATCGGTGTCTGCTCAACCTCCTAAATCTGATACACTTTAGGCACTAGTTGAAAGCCCGGGGCCAGGCTGACAATGTGCATCGGATATCACGTCAACTTAGGTCTACATAAAACGAAACTGCAAAACCGTCTCGTCAGAGGCGCTTCATTCTGCATCTCTTGCCGAGTGGCCGTAATTGGGATGGCTGGCCATGCTGGATTCCACACCTTTGGCTCCCATTTGCTGCTGTGACATCAAGCCACCAAATCGGCGGACTCTCTGAGTTGCAATCCCCGGCTGCACTGCACAAAGCGAAGTCCCTGTCGGCCAGTGGCAGTCTTTGAGAACTTAGGACTCCTTTGCTACTCTTGTACACGGATGCAAAATGGAGTGCCCAGTTTCGAGACTTGGCACTTGGTGTTCGAAGAAGGTTTCTCAAATTCAACATCGCACCTGCAAACTCATTTATCCCAGCTTCTAGCTTGCGAGGTCCTTCAGGTCCAACAGCCCTGGCCACGACAGCAGTTCAATATCCGAGCCAGCTTTTGCTCTCCTCAAGCTCCCTGGAAGGCCCAACGACTCCTGACAGTCCTGACACTGAGTTAAGGTGTATCCACCAACTCCGGAAGCGAGTGCCAAAAGGTGCACAATCTCACATCCCGCTCTTATCAGCTCCGCGCAGAAATCGAGCCTGGCATTCTCGGCTGGACTGCAGACGTCGATGTGCCCATTGGCCCTTCGCATACGCAATGAACATTTGCATCCTGCTTCCACTTTTCGTGTTGGCTTGGCGTTTACGCACAATCCACGAATGTGAGAAGTACTTGTAGGAGATCTAGCTGCCAATCTGTTCGAACGTGTCTCCCATCAGTTGCAGTGTCGCGTGGATTGCAGAAGCGAAACTTGACCCCAATATGCATGCGTTGACAAGTTGTGGCCAGCGTACCACGTTTGGGTCTCTCTATTCTAATATTCTCTGACACAGCCCCTTGCTCACGATGTTACAGGCTGCTACCTCCTGCAAATGTACAAAATGTCCGTTCGTCACTGCACGCTGCGAGCGACCACCATGCAGTTCTGTGAAATGAAGCAATAAGGACCGAGCATCCAGTAGAGAAGCAGGCTTCCCATGGCCACAAAGTGGCATGGCCTGGGGACAAGACTTGCACGCGCTCGTTAAGTGTTGCTTGGACTGTGTAGCTTGCGGTGTTGCGCTCTGTGCTTTCGCGTCTCGACAGGTAGCCATGGAGTGCGGAAGAGAATCTCTGTCTGATCCAAGCCATTGCAGGCAGTATATGCGCCACACACTCAATGCCGCACACCCATGTCACAAGCACGATGCAACAAGGCCGGGACGGAACCATGTGGATGAAAATCAGAGTGCCTGCCATCCTGCGTCGCCAAGGTGACTTGTCACTACAGTAATAATTACTACAGTTCTCATAGTCACGCGACGTACCTCGCAACGGAGAGCGCGAACGCGGCCGACCACCTTGGCCGCGCTGTTGGGTCTGCAGCTGCTTGCATTCCATGTCAAGTCCACACGATGTCAGACCCACTGACAGCAACAATGCATGATGCCGTGCCAATGACAATGTCGTGGGAAGCTGTCGCAGAGCGTCCCAAACAGCCAAAACCTGGGCTGCTTGTGAGAAAGACCCCCTCACTTAACATGCTCCAATGGTTCACCTGTGACTCTCACCAAGATGGAGGCTGCTTAAGCTGCAGCTTGAGATCGGGCACTGGCACCAGAGTCTTCCATTCATCAAATAATACTAGTAGCCGCTCTCTCACACACCAAAACCAGGGAAGAAACAACACGAGCGTGGAGGCAGCACCTCAAGCCCCACATAGCAAGCTCCCATCTACTGAGGTATCAGGAGGGAGGATTGCAACAGGCCTTGGACTTTGCACCGTTCAAATCGAACATCCATGAGGACACAATGTCTTTAGTTTGCACATCGGCGTGAGCATTTGCAGATGGCTCGCAGTTTACACTGTTCGTTTGATGTGTGCAGCCCGACTTCTGCTTGCTGTGCTCTTGACGCGCCAAGCAACGAAATCGCGACGCCTGTGATGCAAAGCACATCGTGGCATAACTCCGAAGGCCGGCCGCGATTTTCATTGCTTCGTGGCTTTGCACGAACATTGTGCCCAGCAAACAGCAAGGGGCAGCAAGAGGCATGCTAATTCTGTGCACGTCGACCATCGGGCAGAAAACCGGGCAGTCTTTTTTTGTGTGGCGTCTGCAGCAGTGGGCGCATGATGTGCGCGGCATAGCAACACTTGTAAGATAAGCAGACGCTCAAGATGCTTGACATCGAAAGAGCTCAGGCAGCCTTCTCGTTCTTTCAGTCGCCAGCTTTGCAATCACGGATTGGGCAGGCGGAGTTGAAGTTGATGGGAGTTGCGAATCGAGAAGCTGGGAGTAGTGCACGAAGAGTGGGCGGAACTGTCGGCATGCCTTTGCCTTGGGAAGTGCCCACATAACCATTCTGTACAGTGTTCTTCAGATTGTAGGGGTCCTCGAGAGAAGCGTGTTCGCGTTCGTGTGTGTGTGTGTGTGTGTGTGTGTGTGCGTGCGTTTTGTATGTGTGTGCAGCCCTATTTACCCCGGGAAGCCTGTATCACATCGCACGGGACCAGGCCGAAAGCCTTTCACTCTTTCCTCACTCTCTGTTTGAGAGTGATGTTACAAACTCCAGTTACTCCTTCCGGGAAGTTTACCAAAGTGTGTGCGTGTGTCTCTGTGGGCAAGGAGAGGCAGGTTTTACAAACAGGCCCAAAACTGACATTTCGATTGCCGGAGCGAACAATCCGACCAAATTTTGCTGCATCTGCACCAACGATGACACTGCTCCTGACCTGAAATCCAACACAGCAGCTTCTTTGAATCCCGTGGTCCCACTTCACTCAGTGGCACAGATTTGTCAGATATGTCTGATACGGCACACATCCGTCGCTGGCGTGGTCCGGATGTGTCAGTTCTAGTGCATCTTCCTCCTTTTCGGAGAGCTATAATTGTCCAGGCAATGTAGCCTCAAGTCTGAAAGTCACCCTCGCCCTTCAGCCACCCGTAACTAGAGATTGAGTTCGGCAAAAACTCTATGAGTTGGCGGGGCGTCAGAAAGAAACTGGACCGAAGTTCGCTGAAGCAAGTTTCAGTTTGGATTTACACCCGACACGAAAAATACAGCGCTAGGGCCAAACATTTGTTGCAGACATAGCCTGAGATACAATTTGGGGTCGTTTCTTCTCATCTTTTCTTGCATCTTCGCAGGTGAAGCCGCATAGGTCCTAGGTTGCAGTCTGGGAGCGAAGAAGGAGAGCTCAGCAACGCCCTGAGCATGTCTCTTGGCTTGAAACCACCTTGGTGGCATAGATGGCATAATGCGTGCGATGGACGTGCAAAGCATTATGCAAGGCTGCCCTCTAAGGATGCCTTTGCTGCGACTCTCAGGCCCCGGCCTGTCAATCCAAGTCTGCCAGACACCCTTGTCTGAAACGACAGATGTGGACTTCACCTGAGTTTCTGCTGTCAGTCAGTGACTGTGGTGCGAGACGAAGGCCATCCTGAGCCTGCGACAGGCAAGAAGATTGGTCGAAGGTGTGCCCTGGCCAGGCCTGGCGCCGGCGCTGTACTCGCGGCCGCAAAGAAGAGCCCCTTTAGCACGACACCGCCGCCTCGCCATGTTGGAATCTCCTGGCCTCCCTGAGCGAGCCTTGCATGGAATTCACAATGCCAGACTATGGTCTCTGCACTCCTTCATTCCTGTATGCATCTTTTAAAGAACGCTTTGGCTCAGCACGCAACGCGGCTTCCTTCACAGCGCTGTAAAAGAAGCAGCGAATGTAACAGTGATGGTCCTCCCGACACGAGCAAGCAGATAAACAGAAACAGAACGTGGGCTCCTTTCAATTCCTTCACGTTGAGTAAACTTCAGTAAACTCATCACTAAACAGTTCCCATCCCTTCCCGACAAGGCGGTGGTCTGAGGAAAAGACTGAGTCAGTTTGTCTAGGAGTGCCTCAGCAGTCTTTGAAAGGCGACGGTCTTAGGTAGACTGCCTCCTTCTTGACGCTGTCTCACTGTGTCCGTGTGTGCCGACAGTTTTGACTTCGATCGAGACAAGCAGGCGTTCGCTGCTTTCTCGCTCTCTAGCAGGCTGCAACGGCGAGTCCCTGCACCCCGTGCTTCGGCCCGCTTTGGTCCCCCTCTCTCGCTCTCTCCTATGCCTTCGCTGTAGAACATTGTATTTGTGTGGGCATGTGTGAGCAATCACGATGGAACTTCGTCTCGGGACATGCGTCCCCCTCGGCACTTACGGCTAGACGGGTTGCGAAATTGGAAGCAGCAAGAGATTGCGGTTCGCAGTCACATCTCTCACAGCATGGGACAAACAGCACCTACCAAGCATAGACGCCGCCAGGAAAACTGAAACTAACAGCAAATGTGCCAAAGACGTTTTCGCGAACAACACTACAAGCAAGGTTCGGGCGCAGCGTTGAAAGATCCTAAGGCAATAACGGCAACTCGAAGGATCATATTGCACTTTGTTCTCTCGCTCGCTCTCTCTCTCTCTCGCTCTCTCTCTCTCTCTCTCTCTCTCTCTCTCTCTCCCGGACATAGGGGTCGGTAAGGACCCCCGGGCTTCAAGCCCACCCGCATGTTTGTTATGCAGGCTTCGGGGGTGAGGAGCGAGTGTAATCCCCCCTGTATGCTAAAGCTATATTTCAATACGATGACAGACTAGGTGGGATGTACACTCTCGCAAACAAAGATCCACCAGCACTGAAGGCACGTTTAGAAAGAGGAACTGACATATGGAAGTGTATATGTGCCTTCCCCGGACGCTGGAGGAGCTCGCAACTGTTTTGCGAGGTCAGTACATTGTCACTCTGAACTGGAGTGTTTGTCATCCGGACTTTCATGTACGAAAGAGCATAACACTCTGGGCCGACAAGTTAACAAATCCTGGATGGCACACTTTCGTAGTACAAGATGATGCCTTTCGCACAATCGCATGCAAGTATCCCCCGATGAGCTGTGTGAAGCAATGACCGCTCAGTACATTAAGAGGAACAACAATAACGAGCAAATCCTAGTTTTTACGGGGATACATTTGCATATTGGAGATGTTTGGGAACTTATTTATTCCCCATCAAATGTACCTGCAAGAGTTTGCGAGCGGATACGGATAAAGTATAATGTCATTACCGTACTGGAATACCACACTACGGCGTTACGACAAACGTCCAGAGGGAAAAGTGCTGGCTTTTCTCTGTATATGAAGCAATGGCACAGCGATGGATACGAACCCTACAGGGATAACATGCGTTCAAATGTTTGGAAAAGCCAGGTGTGTCCCCCTAGATTTCTGTCTGGTGCATTTCAGGTCTCTGCAGCGTACTTACAAGGGGTGTTGCGTCAAGGGGTGTAGGTTCTGGATTCCTGCTGAATGTGAAACAATGGCACAGCGATAAATGCGAACCCTATTGGGATAACATATATACAAGTTGTCGAAGAAGCCAGGTATGGGTATGTCCCCCTAGTTTTTCTCTACAGGTGCAACTCGGCTCTTGCTTTTGGCGAGTGTGGGCCTTTTGAACTCAATAGTACAGCGATACCAAACGACTTTGCCGTAGCTGCGCGGATTCATGCTGGTAAGATCGCAAAAAGGCTTTGAAGGGGGGTGACGCTGGCTTCTCCCGGATGCAAAACAATGGCACAGTGATGGATGTAAACCCTGCCGGGCTAACATGTGTACAGTTTGTTGGAGATGCCAAATGTTTTCTCCCGGAGTCTTCGGCAGTTGCTACTTTTCGCACACCACTACGTAGACAGCTCTTTCTTTTCTTTCTGCTGGGTTTAAGGGTCGCATGCGACCCCAAGGCTCTCGGCCCGCCCAACAACCCCTGTATTATGGAGTGGCCGGCGTTTGGGGGAATCCTGATTAAGGCACTGTACTACCCAGTATGCCCTGGGTTTTCAAGCAAACAAGCCCCCCCGAACACTAAACACGTACACAACCCCCGCCTCGTCACCGCACCCCTGTGGCTAAAACAGTCCTTAGCCTATAGCAGGTTCAGGGGGGCATGAAAAAGGGATGCCGGTTGAATTGTCACTCCCCCCCGCGGTCTCGCAACAAGGGAAGAGTGCCGAATTAGTCTTTAAGGGGCGGATCAGACATCGTCGAAATGACGGCATTGTAGACAGCTCTCTCGCTCTCTCTCTCTCTCTCTTGCTTGCTTGCTTGCCGGGCGTGTGGAGCCGCGAACCCCCCACGGACCCCTTTGCTTTGCTTTGCTCGGGGTTTGAGGCAAGCGCAGTCCCCCCACGACCCCTCTTCGCTTCGCTTCGCAGGGGAAAGGTCCACTATGTGGACCCGCGCCTAGGCGCCCCCTTCCCCATCTGGGTGGTGGAAGGAGCTTTGGGGTCTTCAGCGGTCGGGTTTGTTCCCAACGGAATACCCCTCTCTCTCTCTCTCTCTTTCTTTCTGCTGGGCTTAGGGGTCACTGTCGTGACCCTCAGGCTTTCAGCCCGCCCGTCCACCCACTGGTTTATTGAGTGGACGGCTTTGGGGTGCCACTGACCGCTGCACTTACTACCGAGTATGTTTCAGATTCTCGAGCTGTTACCCCCAACCCCGAACACTAAGTCAACCCCAACCCGCCTCTTCCCCGCGCCCCTTTGGCAACCGTCCAGAGGTTTACAGCTCGGTAACCAGAAACATTCCCTCGTGTATGCACTCGGAGCTTGCACCAAACACTTGACAACTTAGGCCATGGCAAAAACGTAGCATGCAACTGAAGCTCCCCGTGCGGCTCAGTGTGGCCGGTTTGGAAAGTGAAAAGCAGGACGTAGCTGCAGCCTTTCCCCCTTGAGCAACCCTTGGAACACACACTGCCTACCTTGGTCACACCGTCCCTTAAACCTTGCTGCCGCTAGCCTGCGTGTGCCTGTAACTGGGGTGTCAGCTCGGGCCAGCGAGAAAAAAAACCCTCTTCTAGTACAGTAGTGTTGTGTGCCTCGGCCTCTTTCGAGCTTGCTCCCCGCTACTGTGTGTGAGACTTGTTGGGGTCCACTCTGCGGCCTCATACGCAACAAAACGGCATCCTACCACTCGACTAGCTGTGTTTACTGTGGGCCCCGAGGCTGTGCAGGCGACGGCTTGGGGGAGCGTGTGCAACGGGTGCCTTCGAAACCTTACTACCAAAGCGAGCTCCCCCATGGTTTGCTGCACTGCCACGGAGTTGCTGAAACACTCCCCTGGCTCACCTGACTCTGCGCAAGACCCCGAAACAAGCCCCAGCCTCTCGCTCTCTCTCTTTTTCTTTTTCTTTCTGCCGGGCATAAGGGTCGCGGAGCGACCCACAGGCCTAAGCCCGCCCGACCACCCCCTGGTTTATGGAGTGATCGGCTTTTGGGGTGCTCTCTCTCTCTCTCTCTCTCTCTCTCTTTTCTTTCGCCAGGGTTAGGGTGATGGGGTTTCCCCCCTCACCGCTCTCTCTCTCTCTCTCTCTCTCTCTCTCTCTCTCTCTCTCTTTTCTTTCTTTCTTTCTGCCGGGCTTAGGGGTCACTGTCGTGACCCTCAGGCTTTCAGCCCGCCCGCCCACTGGTTTGGGAGTGGACGGCTTTGGGGTCCCACTGACCGCTGCACTTACTACCGAGTATGTTTCAGATTCTCGAGCTGTTACCCCCCGACCCTCAACACTAAGACAACCCCAACCCGCCTCTTCCCCGCGCCCCTTTGGCAACCATCCAGAGGTTTACAGCTCGGTAACCAGAAACATTCTCTCGTGTATGCACGCTGAGCTTTGATCTCTCTCTCTCTCTCTCTGCCAGGTAAGAAAGAGGCAGCGGACGCCACCCCTTCCGCGCGCGCACGCGCACCTGCGGTTCGCAGGATTTGGTCCTCCCCCCCTGACTCGGTCAAGGAGGGCTCAGCTGTACTTCAACTGCGACCACCCCGCTGAAAACTCTCTCTCTCTCTCTCTCTCTCTCTCTCTCTCTCTCTCCCTGTGTCTGGTTCACTCGATTGTCCTCTGCAATCACATCTCCCTCGTGGGCTTCCGCCTGGCGGTTGGCCAAACAGCGCGACTGCGTGGGGCACAATAACATGATGGAAAGTCGAGCAGCCTCCACTGCCAGTAGCAGCGGCAGCGAGTAGGTGCTAAAAGCCTCGCAGAGCCGCAGCGCCAAGTCTTCGCAAGAGCAGCTGATCGCTGTGCTGAGGTGAAAGCAAAATGCTCGCTGCCGAAGCTGAGGCCTGCCACCTGCGCAGCTGTCGGAACTTCACTGGGAGCCTTCTCTTGAATTTGTCTGAGAAGGCTACCCCACCACATTCCCAAATTGACGCAACATAGGCCCACACCTGAAGGACTTGGCTGGAATTCGGAGGATTACTAACGGGTGTGGCTTTGGTTCACAATGCTGCTGGGCTGGGGGTCGCGCCCTGGAACAAGCCGGCGACGCATAGTAATTCCGAAATGGCAGCTGTGGTGCCTCCACTATCGTCGAAAAAGACAGAGACAGAGAGACAACGGAAGGGGCAGAGAGACAGATAGTGAGTTAAGCCAAGACGAAGGCTTGCCAAATGGTCCACTCGTGCCAGCCACCTGAAACACACTGGAGCAGCTTGCATCTGCATGGTTGACCGTGACACGTCAACGCTGCCTCCACGCCGGCGAACAGTGCCGAAGTCCCTAGTCAAGTGGCTGAAATATCTTGGATGGAAAACGACCTCGGATTGGCAAGGAAGCTGGCTAAATTACCCGAAGCTCGAAGTTGCTGTTTCGACTTCTTGTCGACTACGAGACATGCCCGGGCGGATGAGCCCGCGTACACTGCAACAGTCAACAAAACACACAGACTCCAGGCAAAGCACTTTGATCTGTGCCAGTGCCAAGCTAAAGGACGATCGTTGAAGACTCGATTCGATCGGTAAACTGTTAAAACCAGCACAGCAGAGACATGTTATAATTTCCACAGATGCTACACAGCAACATTACAAGAGCTAACGGTCGGGCACCGTGGTCGTGCAAAATCATGTCACAAACTGCCGGCTTCTCACCACCACGACTCCGCACCAAACAACCACGAGCCCTGCAAATAAGGCTTCAAACGCGGGAACCCTGATGGTTCAACTCACGATAGCATCAGTAGTGGCAGTAGAATGAAGAAGCTAGTGAAAGGCAGTGCTAGGAGGTACGCAAGCAAGCAGTTGCACGGGGTGCTTATCAGACATCAGACCGGGAGAATACACATCACCACAGAACAGAACGAACGATTCCTGGCGGACATACACGCCAGAGGCCGAATTACACATCGGGCCAAAGTACCTCCCTTGTGAGCAATCATGCAACCGCCTAATAAGCCGCAGGCCACTTTGTCGACGGTGCGGTTGCCAACTCAATAATACCCACCGTCGACGTGCCTCCACGCCCAAACCAACACTAGCCACGCTGTGCCCGTCGGTAGCCAGACCGACGCAGGGCACCATTTGGAGGCATGCGGCATCATTCAATCAGCGAGGCTGCATGGAAAAAAGGTACCAACGCTAGCTGCGCATTACTTTTTTTCGGAACGTGTTGCCGCGGCGCGATCCGACAAGCATGAAGCAACGGATCCAGCACAAACGTTGGATAGAAGTGGTTTACATCTCAGCTTGGCAAAGCTACAGTAGTCGGTTCCAGCACATCCAAACAGGCAAAGTGATTGGTAGCCGGACACTACTTGGATCATACATGTGAGCTGGGACTGAGTTGAAAACCAGGGTACAGCAACAAAGCGCTTCGAAAGCAACCACGCAGTGGCAAATTTTCATTGACTACTCCCAACTTTGCACCGGGTCACATCTGCATCTGCAACTGTCAGGATCACTGAAGCGGGATCCACGGACTCCTGGCCCCGAGAAGAGAAGAAGAGTCTCTGCCGCCTCACAGGAGCTAAAGAGCTGAAGAGGAAGAGCCGCGGCGGCTCCTTGAGAAGCTCTCTGTGAGCCTCCCGAACAGCCTGAGTTGGAAAGGAGAAGGAGCGAAGCTTCGCCCATGTCGAGAAGCCGCTACGCCGCTAAGCTAGATGCCCACTTCACATTCGAAGCCTTCCCAGGCACTTCCGGATCCCATGAGCCTCAGACATCTTCTGCAGGGTCATGACTGCAGAGTCCGGCGCTACAGTATGGCATCTGCCGTCCGCATGCTCCTCTCGCAGATTGGAGGGATGACTGGTGCTTCGAAACCTGTCAGACAGCAACGTCGACGAAGTCGAGGAGTGAGGAGATAGATGCACAGAGCCGCCGGCGTGGAAAAATACTTGGAGAAACCGCGGTCGAGCTGCGCGGCCTCCAAACGAAACAGCTCGAAGAGGTCCGGATGCAAAAAGCGGAAGCGCCTTCTCCAATCCTGCTGGGCCTTCGCGTGCCTTTCCACAAAAAGCACATCCTGTGTATCAGCCCGAAGCTGCCAAGCTGAGCGCAAAACCTCCATAGCAAGAACCACATGAAAGGAATGGGCCCCGTGTGCCTGCGCTAGACATCGGCAAAGGAGTAACGGGTCACGGCAAAACATGGATCTGAGTGAAGCAGCAAGACTGCAAGCAGGCCTGAGCCAACGATGTCAGAGTCTGCGACAACATCTGTAGATCCTGAACCCAGAGCTTGCTGGAAAGATTGCACAGCCAGCAACACAGGGCAAGCCTCTGCCTTTTTTCTGCGCCGCTCAGCTCTTCTTTTGCACCGGGCTAGCCTGAAATCCCTCTCCTGGCTTGGGGCGGAGGTGCGTCCCCAAGTGCGAAGGGTCGGGAGAGAAAAACGCATCTCTCAAGAAAAGGGCTTGGGCGGCTTGGGTAGATAACCTTTAGTGCATCGGTCGTGTGGACCTCGAAGACCCACCAAGCAAGACATCGTTTGGATGGGTCCGGAAGAGAGACCCAAATGTACCTGAGTGCCCCATGCCGGCTTGGACCAAGAGGGAGAGTGGGCCTTTGAGTCACGCGGAGATCTTCGCAACCTCTTTTCGTGGAGTTCCCGCCGGACGGACCGAAACGCGAGCAGCATCGAGCAGCCACACTGCAAGTTCTGACTATCCCAGCCCCAGTCTTCAAGACAGGGCTGTCATGCTCACAGCCTTCCCAAGGATTGCGACAACTCTGCTCGGACGGACTGACCAAAGGTCTCAGATCCGTGCTGCGGGCTTTCCGAGGCTGTGCTGGCCTCGCTGACAGCTTGCGGAAGGCTAACAGTAGCTTCAAAGATCGAAGCTAAGGATCTCTCAGTCTCTTAAGACAAGCCAAGGCTCGAAATGGGAGGCTTGAGCTGCGAGGATGTCTTCGAGTCCACGAGGGGGCTGCCTCAAGCGAAGCAAAGTTGCACCGCCGGCTGAGCACATTCACAGTCCTTTGGCGTGGTGGACTTGGAATGGCAAACCGTGTTGAACGGCGCTGCTGCGCGATTGTCTATCCTACGGATCCGATGAGCAATACCAAGCAACACAAGCTTTGAACATCTGCTCGATCCATCCTGAGTCCGAGGGCCTGCCCCTTGCAACTCGACTGTCAGCTCGATCTAACTCAAGTCTGGTGTGGGCACGTGGAAGCAGGGCCCCCGGATTTTAAAAGGCGCACGCACTGGCCTCCGAAAGTGCAACCAGCCATGTCCTCAGCACGACATTGGATGCGGTGGTGGGGCAGAAGTTTCAGGCCAGTCCTTTGTCACCTGTTGCATCTGGGGCACGACGGCAGAATTCCAAACAGCAGTGAAGAAGGACAGCCATCCTTAGATTTCTGTGTTTCGGTAATGTGAGGCCACGCGCAGCGAGATGACACCTGAAGCATGCACAGGGACGTACCGTCTTGTGTCGAATGCTCGAAGCATTCATAATACCAGTTGAGCCCGGGTGGCTTTGGCTCGCCATTGAGGCTCTTGCCATCATCCGTTCCCAGGCATGCAAGTGCGTGCAAACAGGCCAAGTGTTTAGCTGAGCGGCGCGACTGAACCACCAATAGCACCAACCTGCAGCCAGTCTCCAGCGAAGAAGGGCAGAATCAATAGAACCTCCGCACAAGATCCAGATAAAGGGTACGCCGCATGTGAGATGCAGCAGCATCTTAAAACTTGGCTTACCCCGCACTCTGAATTGCTGGCGGCAGACGAAGCAGAAGGCCAGGGGGAGCGCCAGCATGAGGCAGCACACCTGGTGTGCAGTGAGCAGTCTCGGTTCTGGCCACAGTATTGATTCAGTGACCGGGTGTAAGACTTTTGCCACTCCATGTGTTGGTAAACGTTTTGTGCTGGAGATTGCTGGAGCCTTCCTTCCAAGTGCCGCGTCATTGCTTGCAAAGCATTTTGCGAAGCCTCCCTCTGCAAGACCGAAGACCCGCTTCTGGGCCAGATTGGCCTTTTGGGCTTGGCTTTGTTGGCTGGGCTTTGCAGAATGAGCGCAGAAAGCAGCGCTCAAATTTCTGAAATTTCGTTTCAAGGCAACTGGTTTTCGACATGGAGGTGGATGGTGAAACGATAACATACCGGGTAAGGGGGCGCCAGGGATGCACACTGGAGACATGCAAAGCATTCTTGCGGATTTCTTGCTAAAAACGAAATCAAGATCAGCCTTTGCAAGTCTTTGGAACACGAGGCGAACGAAAGGCAAACGCACTCGTGACAACCGAGAACTTTGGAGGATGACGAAATCGAAACGAAAGCTTTTGCTCATCCAAAGCCCGCAATTCAGGAGGGACGCCCCGGTTGCACGACCAAAACGGTTCATGCATGCCGGCTTAAGGTCTAGCGAGATTGCTGTAAACACTGTACGGTCAAATGACGGAACAGCATGAATCTACATATCAAAGCCTGGCATTTCTATACGTCACCTTCTCTATGCCGACGCTGTACTGCACTAGGCAAGCGCGCCCGGCCGTTTCCAGACATGCTTTGGTCTCCCGAAATGAAGCTCCCAACCCCCAGCACGTTCACTGGCAATCTGGCCTGAAAAGAGCAGGGAACGCGGAAGGGGCCTGAGAGAATTTGCCCTCTTGGGGGACGAGACGAGCCTCGAAACACATCGTGGCATCTGAGGCAGAGACGTTCCATGTCATTGTGTCTTCCTGAGTTATGGAGCTTTGACATGTTGATATCTGCTTCCACCACAGCTCGAAAATTAAAACTGAGCTGAGGTACTTCTGAGGTGCAGAAATGCAGAAAACTCCAGTACCTTGTCATGGACTCAACTCAGCAGTTTGATTACAGCGTTTGTAGATGGTCCCTTTCGCTGTGGTGATCTCCAACAACTCAAGGGAGTGCCAGGGGTCCGTGCCTGCGCAATGCAATAGACGGCGTTGAGCACATTCACAATGGCGCTGAAACTTGAGGAAGAGCTCAGCACCTCGAGACCACGATAGGGACTGCAAAAGTCGGAGACAGAGAGAGAGAGAGAGAGAGAGAGAGAGAGAGAGAGAGAGAGAGAGAGAGAGAGAGAGAGAGAGAGAGAGAGAGAGAGAGTGAGAGAGAGAGAGAGAGAGAGACAGACAGACAGACAGACAGACAGACAGACAGACAGACAGAGACAGAGAGAGAGAGAGAGAGAGAGAGAGCATGAATTTGTGGCGGACAGCAGAGCTAAGCGCACCGTGCCAGGGCGAGCGCAGCGAGATCAATGGATGACATAACCAACTGTGCACGATGCTTTCAGGGACAGCCAGATGCATCCACATGATGAACGCTTCTCCGAGGTGTCAGTGCTAGTGGCGTCGAGTGACGAGAGGAGGAACGCTAGGTCCTCGACTCAATGCGGAAAGCTCCCAGCACATCGCGGCATGATTGGGAGGAGAGGGGTCGAGGAGTCTAAGCTGCTGATGATCTTCGCAACGCGGCTTTTGTGTCATGCGTGGCGGCCCAAACCCTGGCTCTGAAGCGCGAAGAGGCGTTCCATGGCGGGCTTGCTCTGTAAAGGCTTGTGCCAAGTGAGGCGGCTTGACCACAATGGGGCTTTGAAACAGAACAAGGGCGAGAAGGTCAAAGTGTTGACCCATGATCGGTTTTGCATGTGCTTTCCCAGCACGAATATGCCGTTGTGTTTCCAGCTCAATGCTTTCACTCCACACTACCGTCAAGTTTTCGGACACGGAAGCTACACGGCCGCAAACCTCCCTGACAAACGCATGCGACATACTTAATGGAAACTGCCGAACTAATGCGACATAGCTGGCACTGCGCTGCCAATCACTCACCCGTGCCCGACAGGTATCTCAAGATCAGGGAAACCAGGGGCAGCAGAGCTGCTTATCTAGATTCATCCAGGGTAGTCGCCCACATTCGATAAACTCAAGCAATAATTGGAAACGATGTCTGCAGCAATCCCTTTGCCGGACGGACTCTGCCAAACCCTGACTGTTTGAGAGCTGCAATCCTGGCAAAAGTAGCTGAGTGGGGGCTCTCCTGTTGCGCTGCCCTGCCTGCAGCTCTTCGACCCGAAGCTTTCTCAATCCACCGTTTAACGCATGAGGCCTGCCACTCCCACATATCTCCGTACAAGAGTTACATGTGAAGTTTGACTCACCAAGTACTGACGACGTGTCTCGACTGCACGACCGCTCAGTGTTGCCCACAAGAACTTGAGATAACAGACGCTGTCTGCATCTGAATGGTGAGCCTGCCATGCCTCCACACATCCGACACTGCACAAGACTGTCTTGAACAGCTGCGTGTAGGGCAGCCACCAAAACCAGGATTGCAATCAAGAGCAGGCCAACAGAAGGGGTGTCGTACCGGGATCGGTGTCCAAAGAAGCTCGGCAACCATCCATCTTCTGCCATGCCTGGTGCAAGCGAAATTCCGATTCCGCACGCTTCTCGTGGCAGATTGCTGCATGGTAAACGCTGGTTGATGGCCTTGGAGCTGAAAAGCACCCTCTGCCATTTCTGATAATTGTTGAGCGAGACAGCTGACAGCTGCACCGGCAATGACCCATGACCTCGTCTGCTTGCCAGTGGAGTTGGGAATGAGATTAACAGATTGTCGCGAAGCGAGCAGTTTTTGGTGATTCTGAGTCCTGGGCTTAACGAATGGGCCACCCAATTGACCGCCCACAACGGCCAGCTCCCCTGACTGCCAGTTCTTCCAATCAGCCGTTGGCCCAGGGATGCCAAGGCCGATCAACCTCGATCAACTGCAGCGTCTGCTCAAAGGCTTATCCCTGCGAGCCCTTGCTCAGTCGCCCGTAATCTTTCCCAGACACAACGGGAGAAGGTACGAAAGTACCACGGCGATCAAAGCCAGTCCCAAAGCCTTTGGATACGATCTCTCCACATCTTGAACTTCACCCGCAAGCGTTGAAGCCGAATCCCAGTAGTTGAGATTCCAGAAGAGGACGTTCCTCAGCCCGCAGAAGCCTGTAATCGAGTTGATGGGCTGTTCAGGTGCCGCCAGGCGGCAGAAAGCCTGACCAGTCGACCTCTGAAGCCTCAAACAGAGTCTCAACCATGGCAGCTTGACAGCGGTTGAACTCAACAGCCCAACTTCTGCAAGAGGCAGGAGGAGAGATGAGTAGCTTGGACGGCTCAATCTTCGGTGCACCGACCACAACCATGAAGGCGAATGGGGACAGAACGAACCCTGCAGCTCGCGAAAGACACAACGAGCGCACATTCAACATGGCTGCACACAAATGGCACTCGGTCGGACTACTTATGCAAGCCCTGGAGACAGCACCAGGTTGATGTTTCAGCACGACTCAGCGCTTCCAAAAGCTTAGAACAGCTCGAACATGCCTGCAAGCGCGAATGCCTTGGACGGTCTCGGTCACAGCTGAACTGCCGTACAAGGCCTGACGAAGCCACATGACAACTCAAGAGTTTGCGTCTGAGTCACAACCCAGCCCACGATACTCAAACCAACATAGTTCAAGGCAGTGATAGCAAGTGTTGGCACGGCGATGAAGATGTGACCCGCAACGCCAGATCCAATCTCAGGCCAAACTGTCACCAAGTAGTCCCGAAAAAGGACTGGATACAGGGAGGCATCGGCCACCTTGACAGAATGCATAAGCAGGATAGGAAGAAGGTTTCTAGGGTTAGTCGGATGACGAAGGAGTGCCAAACGGTGGTTGGCTGCGTGACTGGTAGCTTACTGCCTAGGCTTGGTCCTGGCTCTACGCTTCCAGACTGCTTCAAGCTGGCATCACAGCAATTAAGAACACGCACATGCATATGGCTCTGCCAAAATCTCAGTCCAAGGATCTGCACTCAGCCAAGACAGGAATCCCTCCACAAAGCCCCAAAATGGACCAAAAGCAGCAGTCACCCACTCCTCAGAAGGATGAACGATCTAGAAAGGCTCTTAGGAGCATGCCTACATGTGGCACTTGGAAGAGTCATCCACAATCTACCAAAAAAGAGCCTTTTAGATGCATCGCCGGCAAAAGTCGTCGTGAACAAGAATCAGCGGAGATGTGCTGAACAAGAACCGTCGCCTAACTTGAGACTCCGCTTCGTCCGAGCCAGTACTTTGCACTCTGATCCAATGTTCATTTTGAAAAAGCACCACCAGTGCAAACGCCACTTATCCCTAACCTGGGAAACCAGTCCAAGTCTTGGTTTGGGGCGGTTTGGCTGCGGGAAACAACGCTTTCGGGCTTGAGGCCCAAAGAGTCGAAATCGCTGACCTTGGGAAATGAGGGTCGAGCGAGCAGAGCCGTGAGGCCGTGTGATGAGGGTCGAAGGTGTCTCACGATGTGGACAACGCATACAATCATCAGTACACTTCGGTGCAAAGCATTGAAGAGCTGATTGCTAGCTGAGTGTCCACGAAGCCAGCATTGCTAGGGAAGCAAGTTGCAAGCTCAGCCGTAACCAGTGCTTCTGGTACCGACCAGACCAGAGGCATGACGAGAAAGCCTGACAAGAAATGGCTTGAACAGCTGTGAACAGCTCAAACGCTCCCCTCGGTCTGGCCGGGCCTGTGAGGGACAGCAAAGGGCCAGCAGAAGAGACTGCATCCTGCCCGGTCGAGCGACTATGATGAAGGGAGCACCCGAGAATACTCGCTTTGGATCCGCGAGAGCGAGGTCTCAGCACCTTTGAACTCACTCAGTCGCGATCTTAAGAATCTGGTGTTGCTAGTGCGATTGCCTTTGCTGCCATAGCCACACTTGCTACTGTTGAACCAAGAGTAATTGAGTACTTCTACCAGAATTACAACCATGACTGTCTAGCTCATCTGACTAAGTTAGTCTTGATATTCTTACTGCGATCGACATTAGCGGTCAGTAGCGGCTCCAATGGTATCGTTGCTCAATGTCCATTACGACAGCAACCAAAGGATTGTGTGCAAAAGGGCGCTGTGTCTGGCTGTCTTGCCCTGCTGTTCTGGTGTTGTCCCGCCGGAACGGTGTCGTGCCATCAGGCCTTCAGCATCCCTGCACGTCAAAAAAACTGCCTCTGCCGGGCCGCAGTAGTCGTGGTGGTAATTGTAACAGTGGTAGTGGTAGTGGTGGCGGTGGTAGTGGTACCAGTAGTAGTGGCAGTAGCAGCAGGAGTAGAGTAGAAGTAGCAGGAGTAGGAGTAGGAGAAGCAGTAGCAGGGGTAGGAGCAGGCGGAGAAGTAGTAGAGTACTGCTGCTGCTGCTACTACTACTACTACTACTACTACTACTACCACTACCACTACCACCACCACGACCACGACCACGACCACGACCACGACCACTACCACTACCACGACCACGACCACCACCACGACCACTACTACAACTGCTACTACTACTACTACTACTACTACTACTACTACTGCTACTGCTACTGCTACTATTACTGCTACTACTACTACTACTACTACTACTACTACTACTACTACTACGTGGGAACTCGTTGCTGAGATTGAGAAGCTTTCGTTTCAAGCAGTTGGGGCTTTCGCACTGTTTTGTCTTCCAGCTTCTTTCCTTCCGTTCTGTTTGCATTTCAATTCTTTCTTTCGTTTTTGATCATGCAGCGTCGGTTTCCTATCTTTCTGTCGAGGGCTCCGTGAGTTTCTGCTGTTGTTGCCCGCGTGGCTTTTATCACGGATTTCGACGACAGAAGGCTGCAGGTGTTCGTTTGGTGCTTGATTTCGTTTCTTCGAAGCCTCTCTCACCATCTGCTGCAGAGTCTGCGTTCTTTGGCTTCGTGGGAAAGCTGCTATCCGCGGCGCACTCTTCAGCATCAGCAGGTTTTTGACGCGGACAACCGCTTGACATCTTCCCTTCGCAGTAATTTCGACAACTGATCCAGGCAAATTGCTCCGCAATGCAGTTCTGCGTGTCACAGACATGGCATGCGACAGTCGGCGATCTCTGTCCTCGACGCCATAGGGACCTCCGGAAACCGAGTAGTAGATAATCGCCACGAGCCCAAGAAGCGACAGCCTGTCGCCGGCGGGGCTGCTGACATATCTCATCAACTCTGAGGGACTCGCCTCTGCCGTGTTTCGGGGAAGCTGGGCATTGCAGGCGTGCAGCTGAGCTTCAGCGACAGCGACGTCCATTGCGCCACTGCAAACCCGTATGCTACAAAAAAGGCTCCAGAATCCCTGGCAGGACGGACATGATAGGAATGAAAGCAGTGCGTGCCAGTCTGAGTGCGTCTGTGTAGGCTGTGTCTGTCTGTGCTTGCATGTCAACTCACCCGGGCTTTTGGCCGGCCGGCCGTCTCCACATGTTACCCTGACACTTTCCTATACGCTCCTTACCTATGCCTTAAAAAGCCAAAGAGTTTGTGCATTGCAAGATGGGAACGGTGTTGCCCTCGAAGAAGCTTCGCACCTCTTTGTAGTTGGCGATAACGATGAGATGCTGAATGCCATCCTGAGGGTTCCAGGCCCGGAGCCCCCAAACGGAACTAGAAGTCTCAAGGATTCTCCTCGTGCAGCTCGACCAGTTCACTCTGCAGCTCCAGCGCCATCTTCCGGACACCAAGCAGGCAGAGAATTCCTCTGCAGCTCATTCCAAGACCTGACTTTCACATAGTTTCATCTTATACGTTGTTCGAATGAGTCCGGGAAACTCTGGCAGACTCGGTGATGCGAAATTCTTTTGAACGGTATGCCAAGCCAACCGCACAGGCTGGCATTGAGAACTGCCTTAGCGCAGCCATCAAGGCAGCAGCATTTTGGATCTATATTGTATCTGACCATCCACAGGATGCATCAAGCTGAGACAACCCTAATTCTGCGGAGGCGACTCCCATAGACAGAAACGCCTGTCGGCTCAGCTTCGCACACAAATGGACAGCCTCAGAGGGCCGTGCAGCCGGCATATTCCTGGTCCTACATACCAGATTTATTACAGCCTGTCTTAGCATCAGAGCACAAGCGTGACACGGTCAAAGGCAATCGCTGTGAAGTGCTGAGCTGTTGGGGACATTTGAGCTTTGCCTCGTTGCTACTGTTACTATTGGAGGGCCCTGAACGGAAACATGATTCGGGTTGCTTTTGGGCCGACACCCACAAATTAAGGCCGTGCGTAGTTTTTGGCTGTGATGGGCCCACGTCCCACCGTGATCCACGGAACGAATTTACAGCTCAACTCCCAGCCTTGAATAGACTGAAGATATATTAGACATCTCTGTGTCGCATGTTCTCTCACATGGCAACAGCTGCTAGCTGGCAGCTCTGCCTGCAGATGCATCGTCATGCATCCAAGCGACAACAGTCTCGTTGACAGCACGAAGCCAAGTGCTGCTAGAAAAGTCACCTAAGCAAATGTCTATCCACATCGGTCGATCATCGCTTCGTGGAATCTATCCTTATACAACATATGACGGTTGCTCGCGCTTTCCTCGCACTCAGGCTAAGGCCAGCAGGAACAAAAGCAATGGAAACAGCCTCGCCTCGTATTCATCGATACATGGTGGCGTGGACCGTGGTGCGTTTCAAGTGCTTTCTTGATGAAAAAGGCCGAGGCAAATGTAGCTGCACGGCGACGCTCGTGGATGTTGGCTCTGTGAAACGAATAAAGACTCTCTGCCTGGGCGACGTTGCTGCTTTTGGCGACACACGACAGCTCTGATTTTTGGCCTGAGCGCCCGACATTGTTGAAGGCAAGACATCCTCTTTCAATGTCTGCAGACATGATTCGTCGCGGGTGGGGCAATGCTGATTTGCTGTAGGACCTGTAGGATCTCGGGTAGACTTCTGCATGAAGCTAAATCAAACGTCTGGATCCAAGGCTGCCGACATCTGGCTGCTCTCGACTAGACTGATGTTTCAACCTCTCCTTGCTTGTAAGGGCTGCGCAGGTCACATGCTCTCATGATAGCACAGCACAGCACAGGATCCGTAGCAGCTGCCAGCTGCCAGCTGCAATGAGCCCTTGTCAGAGTGTCCATCCGATCCGTCTGCGGCGGTTTTCAGCCGTGCAAATGAAGGTCAGCAACTCGCGTGCAGGAAGTACTACTCGCCCTCAGGGAGTTCGCAAGCAAACCAAAACAGCAAGACGCTGGCACAGACAAAGCGGAATGTGATGTGCCGCGCCTTCGTTGTACGGATCCACTCTTGCTGCCAAGCCGAGTTCTTTGAGCAGCTGCAGAACTGCCGGCCGCACCACCGACTCACCTGCACTGCATTGCACTGCTTTGTACCATCACGCTCGTCCAGACCTTGGGACCGATGCCAGGCATCGCGAGTGCATCAAAGGATTCTATCGTCAGCCCCCCCCGCACTGTGCAGAAGGCGCTCAAGGCGACATGCCGTGACATGCGGTGTAACGAGCCAAGCTCTTTCCGGCCTTCGGAGTGGTTCCCGCGCCCCGTCACCAGGACAAGGCCTCGGCCGAGCAGGGACTGGTCGCCTTTTCCTCTGTCGATGCGCTCTCTGATGACCGGTGAGCACACAGGACAACCGCGGTGCACGGAATCCGTGCAGTGCCCGAAAGGCACGGCGACACGAGATCTGAATCTGATTCGTAAGGACTGCGCCCCAGGACGGCAGCATGCCAGGCTTCACCATCGTGGCGTCCAACAAAGCACAGCAGACTGCCAGGCGTGCCTCAGATCTGCACTCGAACGCTCATCGTGGCGCCAGCCGAAATCTCCGGCCTCCTCCGGCTGCAGACCATGCAGGTCCAGGTGTCCCCAGCGGCGGCCGTGCTCGAACCATCCAGCTCCAGCCTTGCGACCGCCCAGTCGAAGTCCACGAAGCGGGCGCTCTCGATACCAAGCCTTCTGCAAGTGCAATGTGAGTGCAACGTGCCCCCACAGGGGAGTTACAGCGACATGAACGCAACCAAGACGCCAGTGCTGTTGCCAAATCGCCCATGTATACGTGGCTGGTCATGCCGGCGGCTTGAAAGACATCGTCCAACACCATGCCGGAAGCCTCCCACAATGCGGAATCGAGCCGTTCTTTTGGCAGATGCTGCTAAACTGCCTTGGTTCCTTCACGCCAAACATGTCGTCTCCAATTGTGATGCCGAAACTACGCGTGTTTCGACGTGCCGCTTGCCGCTCCATGCCCGCCATGCCTCCATCATTCCAAGCAGTTGGAGCACCTGGTGCCATTTTGTCGACTTCTGGCAGGCCGACACTACCACAGAAAGCGTGAGCCTCGGATAGAGCTGACAGACTGGCAGTGACTTGCTGATGACAAACCTTCCGAACTCTCAGGAGAGAGCTGGCTCAGCTGTGGTCCTGCAAGTCATGGCACCGTCGGAAACGACTTGAACAAGGTGACGCTAAAGACCCCAAAGACCCCAGGTCCTGCAAGGGAGGCTTCTTCCAGGATTTGCAAGCAGCTCTGCCAGGATGAGTTGTGCTCGAATACTCGGCATAGTGCGTTGAAGGTGCCGTCGAGCACATTCAACTTCCTTGGCATGATGGCAGTGCCAAAATGTCGGTCGAAGAGTGTCAATGTCTTCTGGTCTTCTCATGATCACACAGGATGAAGCTGGAAATCGTCTTATGCTGACACCTGCGGTCGGCCTCGAACTTTGGCTTGAAATGCCCTCCGCGCTTTGTTGCTGGCTGAGGCGTTCCGGAACTTTGTGCCGATCTCCCCTTCGCATGTCACGCTGCACTTGCCTCGTGGGAACGGCACTTTGTCCACCAGGCCCTTTGCAGCATATCACAAATACTAGTTACTACCAGCGACTAGTTGTCCCCATGTGTTTTAATCCTTCGCATTTGATTGACTTGGCATGACTCGGGGCAACAGGCACGGGCAGTCCGCGTGCCCCGTGCATGCAACGCCGTACCATGCCTCATCCACCGTGTTGTCGCCAGGGTTAGAGGGAAGTGTCGGGTGGGGGCTTGGCCTGGCCATCCAACTAAGATCGATGCCGTACTCGAACTCGGGATCCAGGTTGCATCCCTCCAAAAAGCTCCCCTGCTGAATAAAGAGTCTCATGGGGTTTGTCCACGTAACCCACATTGCCATATATAGATCCTCGGACGGCATCTCACCGAGAGCCTTGAAGGTCGTGGGCACGTTTCATCCCGAGGGAGATCCGCACGCTGCTTCTCCATTGTCCGGTTAGCAAGATTCCAGGCCACTGGCAACCGAACCGCAGGGTACATGCAGATGCGAGCAGGTGGCATAATTCCAGTACGTGTCTGCAAGGAACCAAAGGGGAACAATGACTGAGAACGGGGACAAGCCCAACACTTTCACCCACGCCTCTTCTCTCTTCTCTCTCTCTCTCTCTCTTCCCGGCTCTCTCTCTGTCTCTTTCTTTCGCTAGGCATGAGGGGCGAGCCCCCGCCGTGGGGCTGCCCGCTGTTGACGGGATGCATGGTATTACATGCGAAAGGCTAAGACTACTCGCACGATGTGTGCCTCGCAACTGCCCAGAGCATTAGTCGCAAACATATAACATGGATCACCCCCGAGGCTCACACCCACTGCAGTCTAGTTGTAGGGGCCAGCAAAGGGAAAAAACATGCGTTCATTCACGGCCCATCTACTGCTTTTGAGCAGATGCGGCACACTTCAAGGCGGGTCATGGCGGTAACTAATTGAGTCCCTTTGTGGCAACAAAATTGCAACGGAACTGTATCGGCACTGAAACAATCTCGTTTGCGACCGAATCGGGCCGTAAATGGAAACAGTCTGTCCTGCAAAGTTGAGGGATTGAGGGAAGCAAGTCGAATTTTGCATGATCGTGACATGCATTTGTCTTCATGCATGTGCTACGGCGTTCTCACAGTTCCACTCACATCGGGTGCAAACATCAAGGAACACCAAAACTGCTCGGTCACGAAAGTGGCTCTTCGCAGCATGGTGTAGATTGCGAGGTCCCCGTTCTGCAGATAGCTCGCGATCTTGACGTACAGGTAATCCCCCGCCCAGCGTGGGTCTTGCGGCGGATCGAGGGGTAGAGATTCTCCTCCGCCCAGCGTAGGTCTTGCGGCGGGTCGGACCGTTCAGGAAGCCCCCCTGTAGGCCGCCGATCGCCCCGATGAGGTTGGCGTGCTTGTCCCGAAGGGGCGGCGCAAGGACACCGTGCAGGACCGAAGCCACCGAACTCGCGCTAGTCAACGCCGTACAAGTACACGCAAAGTGTGTCACACACGTAGTGGGGCTCGCACGTATGAGGCGCCGGCTCTCTCTCGCGATCCGGGTTGAGGTCCTCTCTCAGTCAGGGCTCGGACCTTGGACCACTCGTGGCTTCTGTCTCTCTCTCTCTCTCTGTCTCCCGCTTCTTTCGCCAGGGTAAGAGGAGGGGGAGGGCCCCCACCTCCCGCGCTGTCCCTCTCTCTCTCTCTCTCTCTCTCGCTTCGCTTCGCTTCTCCGGGGTTAAGTCCAGCACGCTGGACCCGGGCCCAGGCCCCCCCGTCTCTTCCGCGATTGTGGAAGAAGGGGCATTGGGGTCAAATGTGAGGAGGCTTTTCCCCCATGGTCTGTGTGGCTTGTGGAGATTGCCTGGCAGGGACCCACCCAAACCCCGAACACTAGCCCGCATCCCGGCCTCATCCCCGCGCCCAATAAGGCTAGTTCCTTCGTCCCTCGCCAGGCAATTTCCCCCCACTTCGTTCCAGCATTCGGCGGTAGCCCCCTGTAAAGTGCAAACACTCTAACGCACATCAAAACAAGCGACTGCAGGCTGGCTTCCCCCAACGGTGTGAAATCCCAAACAAAGTTCCTGTTCAAGAGCTGAATTGACGGCGGTACTCTATCTCAGTGCCGTAGTATGCAGTAAGTGCAAGAAGGGGGCATATGGCCCCATGTTGGCAGTAGGTTGGATGGCTCCGGCGGCCCGTCATTAATTAGGCTTAGCATTGCAAGCTCACTGGTGTGGTTCCCCCGCCCTTTTCGGCGAAGCAACAACAAAGGACACGGCGGGTTCCCCATGGTGGAAAATTTAGCCTTACGCTCACTCCCGCTCAGTACTGGACTTCGTGGTGCTCTCTGTCTGGTAATGTTGCTGTACCTGCTGTACTTGCCATTGCAGACTGGGGATTAGCCGAACATGGCCATGTCCCCCCGGTTATTGTTCTGGCTCGTTCGGCCTCATCGCCCCCATGCGGCGCTTGTGTGGCGGCTCCCCTTCCGGCTCGTTTGGTCTTTGTGATCCAAGTGAGCTCGGTGGTTCCCGTGCTTCACGGTGCGCTCCGGCATCCCCCTCCTCGTCGGTCCTCTTGTTGGACCCCGCTTCCTCTGCCGAGGGTGCACTTGCCGGTTGACTGCTCCCCCAGTCGACTTCCTCGAACGGCTCGGTCTTCTCCGTCTCCCCGTATCGGGCTTCTTCATGTAGGTCTGCGGCTGCTGTGGCATGGGACTCTCCCCCTGTATGCCCCTCCTTTTTCGCATGCTCTGTTGCTTCGCTGCTTCTCCGCTGTCCTGCTGTGGCGCTCGGTGCACTGCATCCCCCCTTTTTACGGCTTGGGGTTGCCGTTCCCCTTTCTGCTTTGAGTCGTCGTCTTATTCGGCGGGCCTTGTCGAGGAGCTTTTTGACTTCGCCCGGGAAACGGATGATGTAGGCTCGCGTTTCCTGCGCCACATCCGGGAGGTACTTGTCCACGATCTTGGCCAACTTGTCCGCCTGTCTTGCCGGTGTCTTTTGCGATATTGTTCGTATTCTTACTGCTCTGCTTCCGTTAGAGGCTGGCCGGATTGGCTGTGACGCCATTCCCCCTTTTCTTGGGTCACTTCACAGCGTGCCCACTTGTCGAGAGGACCTGGTAGGTAGTGTAGTCCAATCCCCCCTGCGGTCACGTAGGCAGTCATGTGTTCGAAAGGTACTTGTTGCGGTCTCGTGCGTTCTCCTTTCTCTCCCCGTTCTGGCTGTGGTTGGCTTGCCGTGTTCCTGCCATTCGACCACATAATTGGCCGGTTCCCCCTTGCTTCAGATCCGTGGAACCTGCATTGTGGGTCAGATCGCTCGTGGGTCTTCCGCATACCTTGTTGGCACAATCCCCCGCCTTCTCTGCAATTCTGCAGATTTTCTTGCCTCCTCCACCTTTCTTCCCCATGATCTTCACTATCTTCTCGTCCTTGCCAAAATCACAAACTTCCGGTTCTCAATCTCCCCCGTCCAGCGGAGCGGTTGTCCACACGATGCTTGGCGAACTTTTGCCGAAGGTCGTTGAAGGAAAAGATCGCCCCCTTCCCGTGCGGAGCGTCTGCGGCAAGGATCTTGCAGCCCCCAGGTTGTCCACTGCAAGTAGTATCACGGACTTGCCGGTCACGGTTATGGCTCGCCCTTGGTGCTACCTTGGTCCCTTAAGCAGTGTGGCGTCAGGTATATGACTCAAGCACCGCTGGGGGAAAGTGCGAAGGCTCCCCCAAGGTTTACAGCCTTGGGTCAACCCCGCACCTCCCCCCTCGATGCAAGGAGGCGGAACAGGCCTCCAAGCAAGGGTGCAGCACTTGAGCCAAAATGGCTACTCTCTCTTTCTTTCTTTCTGCAGGGCGTAGGGGTCGCGTGCGCCCCCCAGGCCTTAGGCCCGCCCGGCCCACCCCTCCGTGTTAGTGAGTGGCCGGTGAGTAGCCTCTCTCTCTCTCTCTACCGGGTGTGGAGGTCGCGGCAGCGTCCAGGCCGCTCCCCCTGTGCACGCACGCACTCCCGCGTTTCACGGGGTGTCCGTTGTTCCCCCCAGGGGTTCGCCCCGGGTCGGCTCGGCTGTACACTGAAAAGGTTTGCCGAGGCATGAAAAAAGAAGGCCTGTCGGTGTTTCTCCCCACACCACATATGTTCAAACAACAGCATCAAAGCAAACAAGGAAGCACATCCCCCTTTACCCACAGGCCTTCTGGGGGGTCGAAGGAAAAGCTTGCATTGTTGTCCTGCTATGTTTGAGCAAGGACCGCCATGGAACTACGCGGGTTGATCGGAGTGAATTTCAGCCTTCTATTCCCCCCCGAATTCAGTCAAGGCGGCGTGTTGAAAAGAGGCTAGAATTGTTGAGCGGGCTTACCTGAGAAGGGTTGGGAGATAGTCCCCCCAACCTCTGCTTAAAGAGTTCACACCGACATGGAACAGTTGACTGGAGCTATCGAGAAAGTTTGCAGACGATGCAAAGTTGAGGCAACGGGCTCAACGGGGATTAGGCACTGTGGGAAGGTTTCAGCAGAACAACAAAGTTGGCCGAAACAAGTTCCAAAAGCTAGACCCAAAACAACATCCCCCCCCCACAAGTGCGAAGCTCGGAAAATTTTTTGCCACGCTCACATTCACTTCTGTTCAGTACTCAGCGCTGTCGCCTCCCCTCTGTTGCGTGCCATGTGCTGCTGTACTTCTTGTACCTGGTGCCGTAGGTTCGGGATCAGGGCGATGGCTGGTCTTCCCCCTGTCCCGCGTGGCTCCCCTACTGGAGGAGGTCGTGTTCGCTTGGCATGTGACTTCCCCTCCGGTCTGCGTGCTCTTTCCGGAGCTGGCCGAAGGTCCTGTGGCTGTCTGGTCGGCGGCTCCCCCGCCGGTTCGGAAGGACGTCTTGGGTTCGTCTCCCGGTCTGACGGTCTGCCTTCGGCTCCCCACGGCCACTGCACATCACCACTTGCGTCTGGCTCCTCGTCGTCCCCGCTGTCGTCTTCGGTGGTTCCTCCCCAGTCGGGCGGAGTCTCTTCGTCCCTCTCCGCTGGCAAAGGTGCGGGAGCGGCGGGTCCCACAGTCTCCCGTACAGCCTCTGGTGGCGTGCGGCTTGCTTGGGCTTGCCCTTGTCTCCCCCGCTTGGGTTGCTGAGTCTTCTGAGCCTTCTTCTTCTTCAGCCTGCGGGCGTCCCTCAGCAGTCTCGGAATGCGGTGTGGGAAGCGCATTACGAAAGAGCGTGTTTCATTGGCAATCCCGGGTAACAGCTTGTCTGTTATCTTCACAAGCATATCTGCAGCTGCTCCGAGGGCTCGCCGATGGAGGAGTCTCCCCTTATAAGAAGCGTAGGTCTCCTGGTCGTTCTCCCCCAACGCCTTCTCCCCCTCATAGAGCTCGCCAGTGTCTTCGTCTTGTTGCACATTGCGCCCGATCCATGCGTCGAGCGGGCTTGGGTGAAAAAGCAGGTGAAGCCCTCCCTTTGTCTCATGCTGCACCATCCCCCCAAGGCTTGGTGCTCGCCTGGAAGAGGAGCTAGCTTCTCCCCCGTCTTGGCTTTGTTGTGTCTCACGTGGTTTCCCCTTTGGTTTAGGTTTAGGGGATGCCACTGCCACATTGGCTCTGCTTGTCACACCGTGCAAACGACACGCAGGATCACTTCTCACATGCACTTTCCTTATACCAGGCCTGCAGATCCCCCCGGCTTCACGACATAGTCTGCACTGCATCCCCTCCAGGACGATTGCCTTCAGTTCCGCGAGGAAGTAGTATGGCGGTCCCCCCCTACTGACGGGCCACCTCCCGGAGGAGGGCCGTGGTCCAGGGGTCCCGTGATGCGCAAACCCCTCGGGCCTCTTAAACAAAATGAGCTGCGGCGTATTGCTCAAGCACCGCTGGGGTTAACGCTCCGGCTTCCCGGAGGGCACAACCTCCGGCAAACCTTCGCGCTCCCCCCCCGATGCCAAGAGGCGGTACAGGCCCCTCAGCAAAGGTGCAGCACTTGAGCCAAAATGGCTACGGTGAGTAGCCTCTCTCTCTCTCTCTCTCTCTCTCTCTCTCTCTCTCTCTCTTTTTCTTGGCCTGACCCTTAGGCGCGACGCGCCTGTCCCTCCCGGGAGGCTTTGGGCTCTTCAAAAGTTCCTGTTCTTCATCACAGACAGAGCAAACCGAGCACGCTCCGCTTTCCCGCACAGTCTCTGCTTTCTCTTTCTTTCGTCCTGGTGACCGGTGACCCCTGACCTCGCGGCGCCGCACATGCTTGTTGTGGATGGAGCTCTGGGCAACTCAACCAAGATCGGCTCGCTCTCGCTCAGCTCGCTCTCTCACCTGTTCCATTGCCTTCCAAGAAATGCTGCTGGACCACTTTTCCAGCATCTGCGTGTACAGCTCGAAAACACATTGCCAGCGGCTTGCTCGGAAGCAGGCGCTCATCGCAGTGTTGTAAGAGATCGAGTCTGGCCGCCTGCGTCAGTTGCAGAAGCAGCCTGATATCTGCTTCAAAGGCTTGGCCTGGTAGAACGCAGCATGCTCAAGGACTCCTCCCACCGCCAAGTCTGCGCGAATGCCGCCAGAATTGTGTTGACCTGTGGACATGACCGCTATGACTGCTGGCGATTACATGCAGCTCCAAGAGAAACAGGCATCCTTTTCGCCGTCTCTGCATCTCAACTTCAACTAACGGTGTTGATGGAAGGTTCGCAAGTCCAACAATGAGTTCCTCTACCTGATGAAGGCTATTTTCATCTCTTTTGTCGTCACTCTCCCCTTGCTGCCTTCTTCGTCACTCACATCGAGTGAGCCGCGCTACGAACGACAAGAGTATAGTTTGTGTTGGGCGCGGAGGTGGCGAGACGCGGGACGCGGCGGCACTCGAGACGCGGGGGCTCGCGGACGCAGGGCACGGTCCGGGGGGTGCGGGACATTGGACTCGGAGCCGTCCGTATCTATCTATAGATAGATCTATCTATATGTCGGAATTGCCACATGAGGGGGCGTGTTTAAGATCCATGATGAACCGAGATCGCCAAATTAGGGAGCGGTTTTAAAGATGTATGATGAACCGGAATCGCCAAATGCATGCGAGGGCGTGTTTAAGATATGTGATATCGCAAAAGGAGGGGGTGTGTTTAGGTCCTATAATGAACCGCAGTCGCTAAATGCGGGAGCAATTTTCAGATGTATGACGAACCGACATGTGATGAACCGGAATCGGCAAATGAGGGGTGTGCTTAAGATATATGATGAAGCGAGATCGCCAAACGAGGAGGCGATTTTAAGACAGATGAGGCAGAGAAATCGCCAGATGCGGGGGCGTGCTTGAAACATCTGATGAGTCGAAGATCGCAAATGGGGGGGTGTTTCAGATATAATAATATATAATAATATATAATAATATATAATAATATATAATAATATATAATAATATATAATAATATATAATAATATATAATAATATATAATAATATATATATATATATATATATATATATATATATACTTATATTTATGACGAGCAAAACCGCCAAATGAGGGGTGTGTGCTTAATCTAAGATGAGGAGGCATCTTTCCCACTCTACTCTACGAATTTGGCACAGTAAGAAGAGGTTGAGAAGTGTTTGAAGTACCCCTGCCATGATGATGTCCGGCTTGAAGAAGCGGTGGGTGTCTGCGTAGACCGCCAGTGCTGCCTCCCACTTTGCACCTGAATGACGCAGCTGTTCAGTCACCGAGTGGTAGCCATGTCTCGCTTTGTGCCTCGCGCGACGGCTGCAGCCGTGGCATTGAGGAGCACAATGTCCGGCTGCATGCTACGCGAAGATTCCTGACACCACGGTCACAGTGGTCGTCGAAGCATGAATCATAAAACCCTCACCGCTGCATCTGCACCAGTATCCGCACCTCCAGGAGCACAAGGGCCCTGTCCCAAAACAAACCATGCCCACAAGCCTGCAGCACATAGAATCGGTGTTGGGCTACGGGTATTCCAGCTTTCTGGTGTTCCGGCTGATGTAACAACTCGTGCCTCCACAAGTGCCGCAAATGTTACCAGGCTTGGCCGGAGTTTCTGGGCTACCATCATCGGGAGAAGTGCCACCGCTCCCTGTGTCAGCTATCAGGCTCAGCCTACCATGACCGTCGACCGTGACTTCAGCAGAAGCCGGCCTGCCATTGGCTGCCTTTCTTACAGGCAGTGATGGCTGCATTCCAGGCAATGGTGTCAGGCAGCAAGAGCTGGCTCTCCATGCTGTGGATGAGGTGCACGGCTACCTCCAAAAGAAGCAGAAGCAAGAGAAGATTGCAAAAAAACTCCATGCCTGCCACTGCTGCGCTCCCCCACAGGCGCTGATTGCAGCACTTGCCACCTTGAGGTTAGAACCTCAACGGAGATGCCATACTCAGAACATAGAATCCAGCTCGAGATTCCCAGTCCTTGCATCGTGTCCATCAGCGCCAGAACCGCCTGCCACTGAGAACGCCGGCTGCAGGCTGCTGCAGCAGTACCATACGCGGATTGTGCCCTGCCAGGACCGCCATCCGGATATGTTCACAACATAACGATGCCAGCAATTAAGTCAGTGCACGAAGCACCTGACACTTCGAACGTGCATGTCAGCGAGAAGCCATATGCACCACTCCTCAACGTCGGAGTTGAACGTAAAGCCCTGCTTCTGCTTATGACTGTGCTTCGTTTGGAATCTTCATCGTGCCAGGAAGCCCAATGTAAGCTTTTGCGGAAGGCTTCCATTCCGGCAGTGTATGTTTCGTGGCAGGGGTGCCTTAGCTTCACGTGACATGTGGTTGTTGATCAAAATTCCTTCACCCCGGAATGTCGTTCTTCGCGAGAAAAACAGTATATATCTTTTTGCAACACCATCGCGGAACTTTCGCGGAGGCATATTTACATACCTTTGCAGGTTAGAACCCCGACTTATAAGCCCGAAATGACTACGCAAAGCTTCCTACGAGCTCCTCGACGCCAAGCTTCTTCGGCATTAATTATAATCAAGACCTTCTGGGAGGCTTGCTAGGGGTCAGGGCTGCGTGAAAGCTACAATAGTCGGAAATGGCTGGGTAAGGCCGTCTTGCGGGTTGGATTCTTAACGAAGCCGTCTTAGCGGCTAGATGCTTGAACTGTGTACTATGACCACTTGCCTTCGTCTGGCCACGTCGAGTTTAATGAGACTTACGCGGAACTTACGCGCTACACCCCGTACGGGAACCTGATTTTGCCAATGGGTTGTAGCATAAGCAGCAGCAGTGGCAGTAGCAGTAGCCGTAGCAGTAGCAGCAGTAGTAGTAGTAGTAGAGGTAGTAGCAGTAGTAGTAGTAGTAGTAGTAGTACTACTACTACTACGACTAGTATTACTAGTAGTACTACTAGTTTTTCTAGTATTATGTTTTGTAAAGTAAGCTAAAATCAAGGTTTCGCCGGGACAAAAGAAACTTTCGCGGCACCATCGCGGATCTTTCGTGAAGGCATACTTAGCTGTGCAGTTGTCGTTTCATATAAACTATACTATACCACAAGGAGCTTTAGATCAAGTACCATGTATTGAAGGGCACTGTGACCAAGAAAGATAGGTCGCTCGTGTAAATTCTGAAGAAGGTGTGCCCATTGGCCATCGCGGCCGGCAGCTACCAGCCTTGGATTTGGGGCAGATGAAACGAAGCCAACGCGGACAACACTGCAGCTCAGCCGCTCCCTGGACTGGGCTTTGCCGGATGACCATATGCGCCGTCCGCAGGCTGGAGATCTGACCCACATGGCATGGTGGCAGCGATGCCACATGTCACCGGCAAGTCCCCTAACCCTCTGCTCTGGACCGGAAGCGCAAAGGAAGGCAGGGTGAACAACGTTTCGATTCTATCTTTCATTGCATTGCGGTCTGTAAGGATTCCCACGACCCACCAATTCCCGCATTGCGAGATTGCCTGCGTGCTCACGTGCTGCGGGTCGGCGGCTCGTCTACATAATTTCTTTTGCAAGTTCGTTTGCCGGCTGTCAGAAGTCCAATTTCTTGAACATCCATGCATCTTCATCGAGGCGGTCAACCTGGTGACTGCATTGCATGCCCTGCTGGTAGTCTGGAGATCACGACCACTGACTGCATCATGTTTGTGACATCTGCCGCGCCTCTCGCCGCAGTTCTGCCATGATTCCCTCGAGGACCTGCCACCGAAGCTGGACTTCTCGACCCCCGCACCCTTCACTAACTCTTCACCTCGCCTCGACCACTTTCCGCCACGTTAGTGAAGGCCAACAATGCCACAAAGAAATGCAAATTGTTGTGAATGTCAAACCGTGCAAATCCTGGAGTCTCCTGTCATTCTGTGAAATTACGCCTTCTGCTTGAACTTGCGGTCGCGCTCTGACTCCTCATTACGAGTCTCCCGAATGCCTCAGTCCATGCTGTGCACCGACGCTCAAACACACGTCGATGTCGCCAAGTGCTCACATGCTGAGAAGTCCGCCCGTTTGCGGCCTCAAAATGACTCGGGAGAACAACATTACAGGAAGTATCAGGAAGTTCTGCGATCAGTTCTGCGTAAATAGTCAACCTTCAAGCTTCGCCGACGAATGTGGTTAATGTGATTTTAATGATTTTGTAGATTGGCTAGATGCATCTTGAGAATGGAGACCATGATGAAAAGGGCCTATAAGACAACAGTGTGACAAAGCTCAGTGGTTCATCCTGTGCGGCCGCTTGTTTCGAGGGCCCTGCCTTGGCCAAACGATGCCAGCCCCTCTGACATGTCAATCACCATGCGACCCACCGCGTTCCGCACCACTATACTGCCACTTCGGAACCATTTGGAGGCCGGGACTTTGCGCGAAACCCACCAGTAAAACTTGGACAGAGAATGACACAGATATGAGACGCGAACATGGATTTACAAACCTGCTTGCGACGGAAATTTCTGGCTAACCGGGCGGTTCAGTGATCGATTACTACAAGATAGTTCAAAAATGTCAGATACCGCGAGGAGAGTGCCGTCAGGTGGATTGTCACGACATCTACGGGAGTACTTAAAATGGAAGCCGCAGCGCCAGCGCACCCCGCGACGAATCCAGCCGTAACGTTTGGCTATTGGGTAATGGGTTTCCGCATGGGCCACGAAAAACCCAATTATTTAGTGATTCTCGCTTTGGCTGCCCCCAACTCAGCAAACAAACTCTACCTTTGCAAGCTAACAGGCACACACTCCAGGCCCATGTTTCGCGTCGACCTCCTGGACTGGGTTGGCACTATGTCTGCGACCGAACGGGTTAGAGCAACAGAACCGTTTTCAACGGCGCGCTCGAACAAACCGCACACACTGACTGGTAAGTCGTCAGGGTTGGTGTAGCGGGATTTGAGAAAACTTTGCCGCAGAAAGCCCTGCCAAGCAAATTCGAAAGAAAGCATCGTCGGTCGAGTTTATCATTTGATGCACATGGACATGTGCACAACAAGACAAACGCCCCCATTCATGCCGACTTCCACTTCAGAGTGCCGTGGTTGACGGAACAAGCTGTCCACGACGGTCTGGTAGTTTCAGGCGGTGAGATCTGCCGGGGCTTCTTGAAGATTTTGGGGAACAGGGGCTTGATCAAGCCGCATCTCAATTGCTCTGCCTCGGAGAAATCTACTCGGGACGCCTTATCGGACAAATTTGCATGATTGGTAACTCTTTGAAGCCAACCCTTTTTAGCAGCCCAAACCCGGAACCCGGAAATGCCCGATCAACCCACACAATGCAGGGTCCTTAAGGGAACCGTTGTTACGTGCGTGTTCGGCGGCCGTGTTGTCGACAAAGCACACTATGCGATCACTGCAATGGCAAACAACTGGGCTACCCTCCAACCAGTCGATGTATTCTTTGGAAAGGCAACACTTCTGAACTACATTGTCCGGGACCTGGGCACAAAAGCACTGACGGGTGCCTGACGGGCCGAAGTACAAAGTACAGCTTTCAGGACGGACAGGGTTGTGGCATCATGAAGTCGGCAGTTTGCGCACTGTCTTGCGCCATGCGAGGTGATGAAGGCATCTGCGTAAAGCCTTCTGCTCTTCATGAAGATCGACTGCGAAATACTTGGCAAGAATCTGGGCGTGAGATCTGTCAACAGCTCGACCAGGACGGAAAAATTAGCACGCATGGCTGCTGGCAACTCAAGTTCTCCGACCGAACCGGAGTATTGGCGACAGTATGCGGCAGTAGAACGGTTTCAACAAGGCTTGCCATGCTTGGCCTGCCTGACCGAAAACCCAACAACATACAAAAAAGAGTTTGCCGGCCAAGCAGGCAGCGACTGGCCTTTCTGCAAGCAGGCAAGGGGTCCGAACGGGACGCACTGCCAAGTCTTCTGTCTGCGTGAGTCCATTGGAGCCTTCGTGGTCCGAGCGTAACGATCCTCGAGGAAGACATCACCCAGGCTTTCGGCTCTGGCGTAGGGGTGCGCCACCGGAAGATCCGAACACGGGGGCGGCGAAAGCTTATCTCATGTCATGTGACATCACCCAACACAGGTCGAAGCTGTTAAAGAGGGGTGGCAGAGAGCTATGCTGCAGATCTTACCCCCAGGCTGCTACCTAGGCTTAACGTTGCCTTGTCGGGTTGGGGCGCCCTGAAGCCCGAACAAGCCAAGGGCAACAAAGGCAAATAAACGGGGAGGGGAAGGGTGCCCAGAACGCCTCCGCTGAGGTCGTCGACGAACTAGGAACATTCTGTGCTGTCTTTAGGGCCCCGCTCTGCCGCGCCTTGGGTGCGGCGGAAAGGCTGACGGGACCTGTGCGGGGGCGCTTTCAAACAAATCTGGGCTTGGGTGGGTGCACGAACGGGGGCATCGGCCGCCGGGGCACGCCATGGCTTCGGGAGAACCGGGTCATCCGCCAGAGGAGGCTGACGGGCGTCGCGTGGATTGTTTGGCTGACTTCGGAAGAGGACCGCAGGCCACCGAAGACCGAAGGACGTTCAGACGTAGCTGTTGCAGCTCATTCATGACAAAGTCTTCGGGCGTGTCTGGGCAGCCGTCTCCAACTGTAGCGTCCCGACGGGGATACGGGGCGTGTCATCAGTACTGGTCGTCGGCGGAGCCCCTGTGCTCGTCCGGCAGGCTGTCGAACGGATGCGATTGTTGCGCTTGGTGACAACTTCAAAAAACCTCTCCGCTCAAAAGCACTACTGTACCAGGCAAACTCGAGAGGTAGCATCGTCGGCCGAGATGGATCACTTGATGCACACAACCAAACAGCTTATTTCGCGGGGTGTGCATGCCCCTAAAGACTCTTTCTGATCGCTTGACATCAGGGCACGAGAACACTCCACTTTGCCGCAAACTCTTAATGCATGTTAAGACTCTTAGCCAGCATTCCAGCATGGCTGCCACATGTCCAATCCGATCAGCCAAGCAGCCCCCGCGCAGATGCCCCGCTCCAGTTCGTCCATGCAGCGCGGCCTGGCTCGAAGGAAAACTATCAAGCATCGGCAACCACTCAGAAGCGCCAACTTTGAGGTATAAATTGGTAATTACGTACATGCTGTGATGGATCCACGCTGGAAGCGCTTCTTTCAACTGAGGTCCCCGCCACCAGTCGCACTTGCAGTGCTCGCAGCACCGGAAACACTTTCGAAATGGAACACTGGCCTTGGGATCAGCACGTTAGCCCTGCTGGGCACTTCTGCCAGAACCGTACTACGCGTGGCTGCAAAGCTGCATTCGGCCCTGGTCGGCCCGGAATCCCCATGGCGTTGGCATCCGTGTGAGAGGCGATGGAGATGAGCCCGGAATGCTGCTTCTCAAGTGCGTGTTGGCGTGTCTAATCGTTACCACTCAACTTGTACTGAGGAGGCCTCGCTCTGCGGGAGAAAGCAGGAGATCAGGCAGGCAAGATTGCTCTGATGCCGCATGCTGCTTGAACTTGACGTGATGCTACCTGATGGCACGTTGTATTTCAGAAGCGGCATTTCTCAAGGCAAATTTCAGAAACCCACGACTTGTTCGCGGTACGGTCGCTGCTTCAGCAGGTGCCAGATCGCAAATCACTGCGTGAGGCGACAACTTGTGTGCCCAAAGCTCATCATGCACTTCTAGCTACTACTAGTTGGATTGTGCAAACGTGTCCATGCACTGTGGAAATGCCGAGATGGAACGCCTGCAGTCCAAATTCAACCCATCAGGATGAAATCAAAACTTAGAAGACAAGCGGAATGCATGAATTTGCTTTTCACCCTGTTGGGTCAAGAAATGGGCTCCATCCATCAGGATGAGCCAAGCTATAGTGATAAAATCAATGGCCTGAAGTTCCTTGCGTGGCCCTCTGCGCTTCGGCGGTTCGCAACTTTGACAAGCTAGGCTCGGCCGTCCGCCGCATTCGCAGGAGCACGTGGCGCAAGTTGCATGAGGCCTCGCAGAGAGAAGGAAACAAGCGGCGTGGGTGGTTCAACATGGTTAAGCAAGACGACACTGGACGAGCTTTAATTACTTTAATCAACTTATCTTCTGGGAAGAGGCACAGGATGGCACAGGAACACCGGAGTGCAACTCTGCAGTTTGGCCGCTTGGCCTGGTCCAAGGACGGAGTGTCCGGCAACGAGCAGCTTTGGCTCTCCTGGGTCCGGGTCTCCTTCACAATCAAAAAGCCTCGCAGGAGGTTGAAAGCGTGCTCGCACTTATCTCGCCGAAGGACGGGCTTCATACGGGCCATGTCCAGCAGCAGCCTACCACCCTCTCGCAACTTGCTTTTGCACGTGCGGTGGGTTAAGATGAATAACTGGTTTAACTAGATGCTCAGAGGAGAGATTCGACGGAACGAGCTCAGCATACTATGTGACATTCGGCACAAAGTTGTCGATCTCGAGGCCGCGAGGTCCGTTTGGGGCTCAAGTATTGGCAAGAGCAACAAGAAGAACATTACTCGCCCACGCTGAGCAACTGTACAAACGACTTGCAGCAGTCCTCGTGGTACAGCTGCGACAAGATGTGCTGCAACTAACCTACACCCTCTGTGGCCTGCACATAGCCGTGGGCTGAAATCCACTTGGCAGATCTGTCGTCCATTGCCTGCGCCACGCGACGGCTGCATCACACCAACTTTTGGGGGCTTCAAGGCCTTAGCAAGTGTGGGACGGCTTGCACATTCCAGGCTTCAAGCAGCCCCGAAGAGAGGATCCAGAGCAAGCCACCTGACGTGCAGGAGCGCAGCATGCCAATTCCGGAAAGGCTTAGCCTCCTGGAGGACACATCACAAGCCGTGCTGTGACGTCGTTCTCCGACGGCTTCGAGGGCACACCACTCTGCTTCGTATTCCCTCAAAAACATGACACAGACGCTCGAGCTCCGACCCCGGGGCCCGACCGACTGGACCGACTGGCCCCTGGCCTTGGAGGAGGAATGCCTGCGCTGCGTGCGCCTTCGCAGGCACGTCGCACGTCCAAGCCTTTGAGCGACCGAGACACGCTGTGAAAGTCCGTGAGCGATGGTCACGCTGTGGCAGCGGCCGTGGGCGTAATGGCCGCAGCCGAGTTGGGCACGGAGACATGGCCTTCGGATGAAATTCCTTAGCCGGATGCTGGACTGTCAAATGCGCAAGTGCTTGCTGGATGCATGGATAAGCAGGGTGCACCTGAAAGCATCAAGAGAACTCGGAGCTGGGTGCCATGCCTTCCAGACTCACGTGAAGCACTTGCAGATGCTTTTGTCCTGCGAATATCTCGGAGTAGGAGGATCGTATCTTGCGCCAGGGCAGCAAAACTATTTTTCGAAAAAGTGGCCCGGGTGTCTGGTCCAAATGCTTGGATGCAAGTTTCCATCACAACGCCGGTCTGCTTTTGGCCATGGACGGTTCTCAGAGTCCCATGCAGACGACATAACTGCCCATGTGAGATCTTCAGTTACGGACAACATGGCTTTCAAACTCGGGTTCGCAATGTAGATAAGGGTCCGTTCATCATGCCTCCCCGCTTTGTGCCCGTTGGGATCCGGCTCGAGTGATCATCGAGAAGAAGAAATGATTTACGAATCTAAGGGATCCAACCAAAGTCAAAGTCTGTCACAAGCGGACAGGAACAGGATGGAGCAGGCCGGAACAGGTTCCGTGTCAGCAGGCAATCATCCTTGTTGCTGTTCTCCGTGTGACTCTCTCCGCTCCCCGGAGAGTGAGGATAATGAGCACGAAGACGACCGTGGCGCGGGCGATGGGACTGACAGTGGCACACGCACAGCAAACATGCTGGACCCCGCTTGACCGCCGCTAGACTCTAGTAGACACTGTGTGCCATTGCATGCGCAGGCTTCAAAATTAAGTACAGGGAGAAGAAAGGACAAAATCTCAGGATGCCAATCCAATTGCATGGCACCAGCACAGGAAGTTAGAAGGCCCATGACTGTGACTCGCCAAGTTCAAGCGAAAGCAGCCATGCCTTCCACAGCGAGAACAAGGCAGACTGCACCGCGATCACTCCTGAGCCAAGCGCACCATGGAAGCCATATTCCAGAATGATAGGATCACAAGGGGAGTGCCCTGCAGGCTCCCAAAACCATTTTTTGCGGCAGAATTTCTTCCGTGCCGTATGACATTGCCGCGAGCGTATTGCTCGCTTCGCGCAGTGCTTCAGCTTGAAGCACATCAGCTATGTCTCTCACAAGCACAGCTGATTCGCTGGTTGCAGACATGCATTCTCCTGTCTGCCAGGTCCTACAAACATGGGAAATCTCATTAGCAAGACTTCCCCCTGGTCTCTGACGACCGTCGCTGAACAGCTTCTTCAAAGCATTCAGCAGATTGCTACATGCCCTACGTCCTCTTTGCACTTTGCCGTCATCGCCGCTAACCGCAGCTCGAAGCAGGTCGGACAAGCTCTTCAAAAGAAGCACTATGCCGGCATTGTCTGGCAAGCTTTCCCCGTTGTGCCTGTCTTTCCAGCACCGGCAAACTCTTGCAACTTCGCTCCTGAATTCTTCTCCACGTGAATTCTGCCAAACTAGCTCTTCTAGAGCTACCAGCAAGTCAATGCAGGCATCACTTTGGAAACAGCTCGAAGTCTGGGCCGAAGCCGAAGCCTTACTCTTAGAGTCACCGTGGTGGGATCGGTCTGAAGCCGAGAAAGCCTCCGAGCGCTCTCGGTCTCGACGATCGCGACGCTCTGCAGTGTCCCTTTCCTGGTCCTCTCTGTTTTGCCAGGTCTCGAGAATTTCCTGGCAGAGAACCGTGAAGGAATAACTGCTCAAAGGCATGTCGTCACCTCGCTGCACCAAACTTTGCACTGTGTCTGCTAAATCTCTTACCAAGGCAGCCCCTAAAGAATTTGGAGGGAATCCTCGAGCTGACAGGTTTCTCGCCCTCCAGCTTCTGCATAAGTTTTCGACATCCTGCGAAAAATTTCGCTGATGCCCGCGGAAGATTCTCTCCAAATTTTCCATCAGCTCAACAAACAATTCACCACTAGCCAAATCACCAGATGCCTGAGCTTCATGCTGAGCTTCACGCAACGTTCTTGCAAGCTGCTCTGCAAGCTCTGCTGCCTCATGGATTACAATGTTCACCTTCCTCCTTGGGCTGCTCGAGCAGTCAGGCTGTATCTGAGTGAACTCCGGGGCAACCTGAGAGTTGCTTGAACGGCCATGTGTCCAACATGTATACACACCAATTGCGGAGCAAAGCAAGCCTGCACCGAAGCCTCCCAGAATCGACGGCACAGCTCTAGCTTGCAGCGGATCTCCACGACTCTGGGCCGAGGGCGATTGACCGAAGGACACGAACGAGCTTGAGCTTGTCTGTGAAGAAGTGCTTGGAATCTTGGTTGTCGTAGAAGACCCTGTCGTGGTTGACAAGGATGTGGTGGCTGTGACGGTGCTGCTGGAGGACTGGGTGGAAGTGACACTCGAGGTGGAGGAGCTGGACGTCGTGGCAGAAGAAGAACTGGAAGACGTCACGGTTGACGTGGATGTGGAAGTGGCTGTCACAGTCGATGAGGATGTTCTGCTAGAGGATTGGGTAGAACTCAAACTGGAGGTGGAGGAGCTGCTGGACGTCTTGGTGAATGTAGAAGTTGAAGACATCGTGGTTGACGCCGATGTCGAGGTGGATGTGACAGTCCAGGAGGATGTACTGCTCGCGCTTCGAGTGGAACTGGAAGTCGAGGACATGCTAGACGTAGTCGATGTTGTGGCAGATGTCGAGGTGGAAGACAAAGAGTTAGTAGAGCTCGAGGCCGTGGTTGAGGCGGATGTAGTGATGCTTGTGACCGTAGACGAAGATGTGCTGCTGGAGCTTCGGGTGGAAATTGATGTGGAGGAAGTGCTTGACGTTCTCGTGGAAGTAGGAGTGGAAGACGTGGTGGTTGAGGAAGACGTCGTGGTGGCTGTGAGCGTATGCGAGGATGTGCTGCTGAAGCTTCGTGTGGAACTGGAGGTGGAAGAAGCGCTGAACGTCTGTGTGGATGTAGAAGTGGAAGATGATGTGGTAGATTCTGATGTAGTGGTAGCTGTGGCAGTAGGTGAAGATGTGCTGCTGGAGGTGTGGGTAGAGCTGGAGGTGGAAGAGATGCTTGTTGTCTTCGTTGTCGTAGCACTGAAAGACAGTGTGGTCGTTGAGCTCGATGTCGTGGTTGATGAGGATGTGGTGGTGACTGTGACTGTAGACGAAGATGTGCTGCTGAAGGTCTGGGTGAAACTGGAGGTGACGGAACTACTTGTTGTCTTCGTGGATGTAAAAGTTGAAGATGGCGTGCTCGAGGAGGTAGATGCAGTGGTTGATG